AGGCCGAGTGCAACCTGGTGTTTGGAAGAATAAATCTATTACCCACTCAAAGTCATGAGGGATGTTATCCCTGTAGGCTAACAAGAAAAAAAAAAAACCCTTTTGTGATACCTTTCCACACCCCAGTCACCACAGGAGACCCATAAATTATCTTAACTCCAACTAGACATGTGCCCTAAAACCACAAATATTTGTCAGTTGACAATGTTCTTGCTCAGTATTTCCTGATTCCTGTTGGTCCTAATTTTGAGTGCAAGACCATCCTCTTCGGGCTGAAAATAAAACATGTTCTTTATCTCCAAGCAAAACAGCCTAAAGCAAAAACACACCGATGAGATGAGTTTTCTGTAACAATGCCATACGCTGGCTATGCCAGAAAGTTATATAACAAGGGCTACAGCATTCCGTAACGAAACAGATGTCAGTCCTTGCGTATGGAGAACAAATCCATTTCCCTCTGATGTGACACCCTCTGTGTGGAATTAATTTGTATTTATACTGGGGATACTGCTTTGGTTTCCTGTTCCCTGGCAAAGGTGGTTAAGCCAGACAATTCAGGGAAATTTGCTGCAAATCTGGAAGTACTTTGAACATTGATAGGCTTCTCCACGCTAAATAGCAATCTCATGGTATTGTTCCCTCAGCCTTGTTTACATGAGTAGCCCTATGGTCTTCAGGAAGCTTATGCACTTATATTAAAGATAGCAAAATTTAGTATTTACATCTGGAAATAACCCTGTCTTGGCTTTGGGTTCCTGCATGGGTCATTAAAGTGACAATAAAGCCCTCCTGCCGAGTCTCTTTTCTGAGAGCCAACCAAGAGTACACTCAAACTCATCTTCAAGAAAGTACTGAGCAGCCAGATCACAGCTACTAAATATGATTGCTCAGGCTTAATGCCTTTGTAGCATTATCCAGAACTATTCTAATTACTACCTCAAAATGAACTAGGTTCTTAGCAAAAACCTGGATACTATGGCAGCCTCAGTGATGTTGTAATGCTGATGCATGTCATCTTAAGAGAGTTCGTATCACAGAAGGGTCTTCACACCAAAAGCATCCAAACACCCATAAAAATACATGTCACAGGAGTCCCAGGGTCCTAATTTTCAAAGCACAGCCTCACCCTCCATGCTTTTTGAAATAGAGTCTTTGCCAAAGTGTAATGGCTTCATTTTTGTGAGCACTACTTTCTCTTACACACAACTGCTTCCATAAGATCCCTTTTACCAGCTTCTCTGTAAGATGCTGTTGCACTCTGCATTGCTGATGGGATCAGGCATTTTCCTGAACCTCTTTTCTTGCAGTAGAAAGGATCAGAGATTGATACAGTGAGCACACAGCCCATTCCAATAGTTGCATCCCTCCTATGCCCTCATTGGGCACTCAGAAAAAATCGTTGTATGATATCGTTTCTCTTACAAATTAACTATTTACTCCAACCTTTTGGTGAATAAGCCGATTTCCATTTTCTGAAATCCCCAGGAACGGGATGATAAATATTAATCAAACTGTCCAAATCTCTATTTCTGCTGGTTTAGAAAGAGTATTTGTTCTGAATTCTTGGATTTCTTATTGATACAATGTAGCAGTGCATTGTCCCGCATTGCCTGTTGTATAATATGAAAATAGGATTTTACAAGAATGTGAGGGGTACCCTGTTGTTTTTGCATGAATCCAGGTTCTCATCACAGCACAAGACGAGTCACACACAAAGCATTCATCAGCATTGCATCCACGGAGTTCTCATTCCTCAGCAAGTACCCCTCCAGTGTTTGGGGAAAAGGATAGTCAAAGGGATCTGAAAGTACAGGTGAACCTGTCAATTCAGGGTCACTGAGAAAAGCTTCAGAGCTTTTATAGGCACTGTCACATGGCCCAACATGGTTGTCTAGCACTAGGAAGACAGCTTCTCTTTTAGAAACCTGTCTCACTAAGTTTTTCATGGTTCTCAGAACTCCATTCACCTGAAATACCCTCCTAAAATATGCATGCAAGCTCCACCAGCAGCAGCTTTAACTCTTGAAGTGCTGGACGTTCTCTCTAAAGGAAAACACCACCAAGTATTTACTCCACATTTGCTGACAGATCACATTGAGTTATCATGATGTGTTAGTTCGTCAGCACCACATGGGACCACCCTCAGAATCCCAGTTCCCCTGAATTTTTTATTCCATATTACAGATTGATGGTCCCACCTCATAAGCCTTTATCCAACCCTGTTTCTGTGTCTCCTCCAGAAACGTCTTGTCAGGCACTTGGCAGCTAAATAACCTATCAGGGCAGTCTACCATCAAGGTCAAAGTCCCCAGTTAATAGGGCACAAATGTAAATTGAAAGACAAGGTACACAGTAATTAAACTGTTAGTGCAAAGAACAGGTCACATTTCCAGCTGCTTCTGGGAACTATGTTTGCTATCAGGAGATGAGGATCAGATCTCTGAGTGCAGTTTTTCATCCTGCCACTGACCATGTGGTCTTTGGAAATTTGTCATTTAATCTCTCTGTGTCTCTCCCTCTCTGCTTTAGTTTCGTCATCTGTGAAATTAATAAGACATTCCTATTTAGTTCCTTAATTTCTGTTCTGGAACTTTCTTACATCCTTAAAGCTTTTAAAAGGTATCTGCAGCATATAAAAAAACCCCAAACTAACGACAAAAATCCACCAAAAAAGCAAACCAAAACCAAACCATCCAACAAACTTTGTTTGCAACATACTTGCAGACTGACCGGGTCAGCTGAAAACTTCTGGTTTTCTTTCTGCACTAACACAAGCCTTTTTGAATGAGATTCATAAAATGTACACACGCGGTCCCCTGCTCCCCCTTGCTCCTTCCTGGCAACCCAAATCAGTGAAAACTCTGGCAAACTCAGTGAAATTTTCTGGAGTTTTCTAAAAGTTCAAGATGCTTCTAACACCCAGTGTGACACACAATCACAGCATCTGAGCTTAACTGTTCCATGCAAACTACTTGTATTTAGGGAGGGCTGTGTAATAAAATGGGCCAGAACTCCAGTGGACTGGGACTATGACCACAACTCACCAACAACTCAAGGTCATCAGCTGATAATGCTGGATTTCATTTCCCTTTTAGAAAAACTTCACAACAAAGAATCTTCACGCTTTCTTTTCAACCACTTCTCCCACAAAAAAGTCCTCCAAAACTTGTCCTCCTTTGAAGTTTCCTTTGCTGTTTCAACTACAAAAGACAGGCACTTGTTTACTGAATTAACTCACCAGCGTGAGCTCCAGTTTCCAGATGCAGTCATCCTCTTCAGTCTCTCACCTTGAATGCAAAAATGGTTTTGGTTAAGGCTGAGACAAGTTCCATTTTGCACAACATCTGGTCTAATGGGGTATAAGCCCATGGTTAGGATTCTTAGACAACAAAGTAATACACGTTATTGAGAACATGCTGAAATTGCTTAGGACATAGCAAACTATCTTCCTTTGACACAAATTTTCAGCCCTTTGCTATTGGCCAGCTTCTGGTTTTGTCCTGCACGAAAGTATTTCTCCATGTTTCTCCCATGACAAACAGTGACAACTGAATGTCAGTCCAGAGAGCACGAGAGGAGAACAGCCTAACACAACTTACTTTGCGTCTCCACATTCTGTACCAAAGCTAAGGGTAGTTGAGTCCTCTAAGCCTTACAGTTAAAAAAGGAAAAATCTCATTAAATGTTAAAAGTAAAGATGCTTTAGAAAAGAAAATGCTAATTGTGAACCAGCTGGGGTTTTCTTTTTTGGAAGCTGACACACAGTACAGCATTCTTAAGCAAGATGATGCAATGGTGTCTCAAAGACTGTCAGCGCCCAGAGGAAAAAAGGCTGGCACTGTTCTCTAAATGTGTTTACTTCCCTGCAGCCATTGTTTCCTTGCTTGTGTCAAATAGTTTATTGAGCACAGCTAATCAATGTTTCCGCTGACAAGAAAATTGGAACAGTTTATATAGGAAGCCAGTGTTGAAGGGCAAATTTCCCAGTTAGCACAGCTTAGAACTGTGGGCCTCATCCACACGAGTATCCTTAGTGAGAAATGAAAGCTTGAGAAGACATTTAATAAAAAGTTAGAGGTTTCTTGGGCTAATCACATACCTCTGCTGCTGACTTTTTGCCTATGCTCCCCCTTAGATACTTCATCTGTTCCCTCCTTTGGTAGTGGTCTACTCAAATGCAACAGGGATTTTCAACCAACATTTTTCTTTTCTGGGACAAAACTCTCTACCTCAGATGCATTCATTCTGTGTCCTGCCATTGCAGCAGCCTACCTTCTACTTAGAGGCTTATGCCTTGCTCATTAGCCCTATTGCACTGACAGAATAATTTCAAGTCATTTCCACATGATGTTTATTCTCCAGACCATCTTCCAACCATCTGGCCAATCTGCTGCTTTGAAGGGCACCTTTGTTTCTTTCACCTCAATCCTGGGCATAATTTTTGTTTCCTTTGGGCAAAGGTCCGGTGCAGAACTTCAACTCCACATAAATGACAAAGAAATAACATCCCAATAGGTGACATTTCATTTTACTAGAGAAACATATTCTAGACCAAAAAAGAAATTGAGCCCATTCTAAATATGACCCTCAGTCCCCTCCAGCACAGCTTACCTGAACCTGTTCAAGCCAGCAGATCACGTGTCATGTGAGTGGACCGCTAATGTGAATTCTGCCTCATTTGTGTCTCTTCAGAAATGCAGGTTTTATCTACTAGCTCTTTCAGAGGCACAGCTCTTGTCTGTAATAAAAGCCTATTTAGATGCTTTCATGTGTGGACTCCTTTCTGAGAGATCCTGTAGTTCACGGTTCCCCAGGGACCAGTCCCTAAGCAATAACCACTCCCGCCCACTGGAGACTGAGTGTCCCTTTGGAAAACACAACAATGGCTCCACATGGACATGACATTAGGAAATTGGTTAGCACATTTTAGTATCCTTCAGTTAAAAGAGGGAGAGCTACCACGAGACAAATGAATCTCACTGCAGAGCAATGTTTAGGAACCACAGGCTTAGACAGCATTACACTGCTCTTCGTATGTTTTCTCAGTTGGATCAGTCCAATTTCTTTGTCATCGTCTGAGAAATCCAGTGCTCTTGCAAGTCCCTGGTTTTTTGTGAACACAGGAGCTGTCCAAAAGAGGCCTTGGTAAAAACATAGATCTGCATATCATGCAGCTGCCGGTGGTTTACCAAAAAGCAAAGGAGCAGGTTTTTGCGATATGGACAACTCTTCAGCCACTGGTGAGTAATTAGAAAGTTACATGTTTTTTCCCCTTCATTTATGAATATAATTATTCTGCGTGGAGTTTTAAAAAGATCTCCAAAAGAGTACTGCACAATGTGCATCAGACAAATCTGGAAAGTGACTATTAAAACTGTGACAAAGGTTTCAAACTGAAATTTGGAGCACACAATAATTAGCATGCTGTTTTAACCCTGTGCCATTTAAACAGCGTAATTGCACGTTGAATAAGGAAAAAAAAAAAATCCACCATAAATTGCAAAAAAGGTACCACAACTCTCGAGTCCTCAGATGACTAGACACAACAAACTAAAGCATAATTTTGTTCTCATTTATAATCTCTTATCGAAGTTTTCTTTAGGCCTGAGCTACAGCAAGACTCCCTAACTTGAAGCTAGTACTTCATGTAATGCTTGGCACTGTTGCATTAAATCTTTTTAAAAAAACAGGTCTCGTTTTTAATTTCCTGTTACTCACTCTGGTGGGAAAAAAAACAGCTCACTGTTCACGTTGGGCTGGCTTCATCCGCCAAAGCAGTCATCATCCTTGAGCAGTGTGGGAAGAACAAAGGATACCAAGAGATGGATGCTTGTGGTTTTCACCCAGAAGGTGGCTGTTGCATGCTAGATGGCCCGGAAAAGATTGAATCTACAATTAATATGAAGACTCTCTGGAAAAACATTTCACTGGAAGGGATTGATATAATCTTTTCCAGAGATGCGGGAAGGTAAACATTGCATATTGGGGTCTCACTGTAAAAGCAGAAGTAACTCTATCAGTTCATTGAAGAATCGTTGCAATGACTGTTCCTCCAACCAAAATCACTTTGAAGCAAAGTCTTCAGAGGGGCACAAGTATGTAATTGGGATAAATTTAAATTTTATGTAAAGCAGCTTTCATGAAAAACTAGAGCCAGTAGATATTTTTCCATGGATTTGTAAATTCCAGAAGAAACAAGTTTCAACATAGTGTACCCTGTGATTAACAACCTCAGTAAACCTGAGCTATTAAGAGACTCTGAAAGCAATACTGACTAGTAGCAGATTTTAATCTATTTTTCCCAACTGGGAGGGATACAAAATGTAAATACATACACTGAAGAACAGAGCAATTACAGGTACCTTTAGAATGATGTCTGTGATCTCATTATGTGTTTCAGTAGTACTGAAGCAATTTTCTATTATGCTAGTCTTCATTTAAAACACAGAAAATGCCATGTAAAAAAAAAAATCAGCTAATTTTGGCCCTTGATTTCAGCATTTGCACTTGGAAGCTAAAAGGTAGGGTGATACGGAAAAAACCCCTCCAGATGGTGAGATTGTATGACTTACACAAAAAACCTGTATTAATCTACTAGAATGGCAGGGTTGTAGTTTCCAGTGGGCTGTGTTACCTTTCTCATCTCACTTAGCTTACAGGAGCCTAGAAAAGAATGCATGTCTCATTATTATTTAAAATTCCTTCTGGGTGGGTGTCTGAGAAGCCAAACCATCAGATAAGGAACATTTGTTTCTCAAACTTGGTTTATTTCAGCATTTCCTTTATTCAACTAAGCAAATATGTTTTGAATAATTTCATAAACCAGATCTGGTTTGGCTACTTAATATTTAAATTTAAGCAAAGTTTGCTGTTCCTTAATTCAGATTTCTGGTTTTGTTTTCTTCTGTATATTGCAGGTATATCTGTGATTACACCTACTACACTTCCCTCTATTACGGCAATGGAAGAGCAGCTTTCATCCATGTGCCTCCATTATCCAAATCGGTAACAGCAGGCGCTCTAGCCAAAGCACTACAGAAAATTATCTTAGAAATGTTAAAACAGTGTGAGTGTGTAAGATGGATCATGTAAGAAAAAAGAAGATTTCTTAGAATTCAATTCCTTAACTCTCTAAAATGAAGCAAATGCAGATTATTTTAAAACCTTACATAAAGGAGTTTATATTCCATGTTATTTTCAGTGAAATCTCCTTGCAAAACCCAAACAACTGTTTAGATCTCTCTTTGCTGTAAAAAGCTCGAGAGAAAAAACAAAGGACTGGCAGTCTGTATTGCTAACAATGATAAGGTTGCTTCAGACTTAAAGAAGGTGTGAAACTGGACTTAGAACATTTTAGATGCTTAATCGTAGTTCTGATGGCTAGAAAGACATTAATAAAGACTTGCTGAACCAAGGTGGATGCTTAGAGCCCTAAGGAGATTGAGCATTGGATGGATGTACCGGAGGTCCTCCTCAGCCCCTGTCCAAGTCCAGAAAGAGAGTTCAGCCATAAAAAGTGCCCACATTAAAAAAAAATGCAACTATTGGGGACAACAAAACACACGTAGGGATCCCGTTATATGTAATTTTATAACAATCTGTTAGTAACCTACTCTAAATGCTGGTTTCCATATCAGAAATGGGCTAGGAACCCAGGAGTGACTTAAACAAGCTGGAATCCAGCAAGAACTGCAATGCTAACAGTAATTTGGGTTTCAACTGCCCAAAACCACCACTTACCCCAAATGCTCAGTGCCTGTCCCGAAGAACCCTGTAGTCCCCCCCCACAGCACAGCACAAAGACTTTCAGTAGAACAGGTCACGGCAATTCAGGGACTTACACATCAAAATCAAAGAGCAAACTTGTTAAAAGCATTGCGCTGTGGCACGTTGTTACTTACAAAACAGGCACCAAATGAGATCCCAAATTGTAAAACTTGGAATCGGACAGTGACAGATCGTGTCTGTGCCTCCCCCCGCCAAGCCAGCTCCTCCATGTCTCTTAACACTGCTATGTACAGACGGACTGTGCCACGGCAGAGATTTACAGCACTTCCCCTTCAGCACACAGGGGATGGCAGCGCACTCTCCCCCGGTAATCTTGCTAGTACCGTGGCAGATGAGGACGAGATAAAATTAGCAGGTATTTTTTAAAACCAGTCACTAAAACAGGCCAGCAGTAGCTTAACCTGGACACTGGGATTTCTCCAGGGAAACAAATGCCTGTTCCTCGAGCATCGCATCAGTAAGAAGGACAAGAGATGACCCTAACAGCACAGACAGCTGATGAAACTTTGGGCCACCACCGTGTCTTATTTCAGTCAACACATCAACGACAGGAAGGTCAGAGGAACTGGAAACACCAAGATAATTCTGGTCTTCTTGCCACTGTCTTTCCCAATGACTGTTACAGAAAACTGATAACCACATGGAGATGGCCGAGTGCCTCATCTGTGGGTTGCTGTAAGGGTCAATAAGCAGGTTTTCTTCAAATAAAAACCTATATAAATAAAACCACCTTACCTTATTCAAGGGAACTACCTACTGCAAAACAGGACTCCAAAGTCCCGTTGAGAAAAGGTCCACAAGCTGGGTGTCACTGGATGAAAATACTTGTGATCTCCACACAACATAATGGCAGTACTGACCTCTACTAAGATTTATTCAGAGTAGCTCAATGAAATGCAGCCAAAAAGGGCAGGAGATTTACTCTTGAGTTTTCTAACCTGTACTTGCTTTGCATAAGGAGCAACAAATTCAGAAACAGGCAAATGCATACAGAATTCTTTTATTTAACTTAAATCATGTAGTACTGAAACTACTAGAAAAAAGCAGAGTAAGAGAAACTAAAGGAGCCTTAGCTTCAGCCATTCAAAATAGACAAAGTTTCTTCTTTTCATAATGTAAAGAATCCCGAGTATATCGCAATAACAGGAATAAATTCTTACAACAGAATATACAAAAACATTTTGAAATTTTTTTATCTACTGATTCATTTTAATATAAACACAGGAATTTCTTTAGGAATAATTTATACACAGCAAGTCTTTTTATGTAATAAATTGGCCATGTTATTGTTTAATTTCTCTTAAAAAAATTTAAACAAGAAAAATTGGAAAATGTTGTATTTGCAACTGCATCCATTCCTTAGCACTTTCTAGTTTTGTTTTTGTCCCAGAGGTAGACAAACTCTGGCCAATCCTTTCGTCTCAAACCTCACTGGTTCAGAAAACAGAAGAGCTGATTTTCAAGCAGTATCTGAATCATCACAACCCTTCAGCAACGCTGTTAGTCAAATTTGGGGGGAGCGAGGGGGACGGGATCGTCAATATTCTTAAATAAAAATAAATAGGGACCCTGCCTTGCTCATTTCAACAAAGCTTCAAAATGGTGCTCAACATCTTTAGAGGCTGCACACAAACTTTTAAAGTGATAAGGAATCTGCAAATAGTTCTTCAATAGTAATTATGAAAACTGTCTTCCCGCTTTCTCTTACGCAGTCGCACCCTTCCAACCACATGGCCACCGTAAAGCAGGTACTGAACAGCACAACTGAGACTGGGTAGCAGCAAAACCCGTTCTGTTTCCCCGACCAGTGAGGTTCTTGTAATCTGTTAAGTTAATTGCCCTAGACAGTAAAGTGAAATGACCAGTTAAGATGATCCCACCCCAACCAGAGGGCTCTGGAAGACCAGGATACTGAAGATACAGAACATTTCTCCGCCTCCTTTATTCATTTGCTGTACGCTGGGACACAAAGCTTGGGCGGGTGGGGGGAGAGGGACACGCCATGAATTGGACAAGTCAGCGATCCTTTTTGGCATATTGTAAAGCTAGCTAGTAACTGGTACCATCGAAAACCCTGATCACATACAGACACACCCATACGCAGACACAGGAAAGTGCCCTTAAATTATATTTTAGGCATTTATAAACTACAAACATTTTATAAAATTATTCTATGTACTTACAAAATGCAATGAAACATTTAATTAGTTCTTGTAAACCAGATCTTCGTCAACTGACTACCCGTAATCTACTGGACTTAAAGCCCTATTGAAAATGCTAATGGATTACTAATCAACGAAACGCATTTAAAAAAAAAAAAAGAAAAAAGATGAGCACACACGCATATGCACACACACAAACTAGTGATAGTCTTAAGGTACTTGCAAAGCAGACCAACTAAGTTGAGACCGGTTCAGACAGACCGACGATAACAACCGCTAAACTGCTGGCAATGAATTTGCCGCTCCGGCTGGGAAGTCCAGAGGTTTATTTACAAGTCCCAACGATCAGAATTGCGATACCCGAGCTCTGATGCTGCCCCACGTTACCAAGCTCAGGAAACTACCTCAAACTTCTGCCAAGCCCCGTGTCTTTGTCAGTGCCCGTTTCCAAACCCTTTTGTTTGCCTGCGCCTCCGCACAAACCTTTCTCAATTCCGATTACCTGGCTGCGCTCAGTTTCAGAGGCCGTTCACGGTCTCTGAGCAGCCAGTTTCTGAACTGAGGCGTCCTTCGAAGCCCTCCTGCCTACTTAACAGTTCTGTATCTTCAGCACCGCTGGCCACTAGCGTTGTTTCTACACATCATTCTTCAATTCTTGTCTGCACAACTACTCATGGGTTAAGTTGCAATATCTGGCTTGTATCACTGGTTAGTAAGGAGCAGATCCCTTGCACCTTCCTCCACTGTTGTTCAGCCCAGTGATTAAATACACTGTTGACAAAGTAAGAATAACAGGAAACAAGTGTCACTCGTACTAATGGAATGAAAAGTGTTTAAATATATATATATCTATATTATAGATATACATATGCAGATACATATATGTATATATAGATATATATGTATGGAGTTACAGCAACAATAGGAGTGTTGTTCACTTGGACTCGGAGCGTACTGGACGCCCCTCTGCAGCTCCCAGAGGACCTGACAGCAGTTCCATCTGGCGACCAGTCGTCCTGGGCAAACCGGGCTTTCTTTCCTTTGTTTTTAAAAACCAAGAGGAGCATCAGTGCGAACGTGCCTAAAATCATCCATCACTTAGAACCAGCTTTAAAGAGCAGAGGCATCCCGCTGAGAAAGCCTTGGTGCGCACAGGCTGGTCTCACACCTTCCATCACGCTCGGCTTCCGTGTCTAGTTTATCGCTCCCCCAAAAGAGCGTCTTGTTTAGCACCACGCAGCCGACGCTTCTGTCTTTACGCAGGAGCCACGTTCCTTCGCAACCAAACCACCTTCTGTGCCACTGAGCAGCTTTTAAATGCGGGTCAGGCGAGAACGATGGCCGAGCACTAAAATCGGAGCCGCCTGCTCCCCACAGCGATGCCAATTTGTTATCCTACTTGCATTAAAACATCTCGGTACCATTTGTCAAAATGCTGGTTTTCAGGGCTGAGTGGGCTTTTGGTTTTAATTTATAAACAAATTGGATTACTTTAACTTTATTCAAACATAGCTGAAGTTCTAAATAAATTTTCCATACCAGACAAGCCAGTGGTCTCAGGGAAGAACAACATTACAAACCATATTATGACTCTATCAAGCCAACATTAATTCTCAGTTGTTCACATGCACAAACAACTTGGTTTACTGTCCGAGGGAAGTCTGCATGAAAAACCCATGTGAATAAAGCTATTCAAAACGCACAGAACACAACAAAAAAAGCTATGGAAACAAACAGAACAAAAAAGGAATTAAGCTTGAATTGCAAACACAGAACGCAATGGTATCATGAAGGTGGTTTGGTCCAGGAGAGCTGACTGTCATCACGCATGCGTACGTGATGTCACATACGACTGTCTTCTACTGAAGTGCTTTTTGAAATGTTTATCATGATGGGTGCTACGTCATTAGTGTTTCTTCCTAATGCATTTTAAAACCACCTACATACAGTTACAAAACCCAGTAACTTGGACAGTTTTAACAAAACCCTCCTAGCCAGCTGAAAGATCTGAGGATCTCCAGTTGTGGTAATCAGTATGTGCAAGAGAGAGGAACAGTCACTGCACCAAAAGGTCACTGGAACCTAATAAAAAAATGGAAAAATCAAACCAACCTAGTAAAAACTTTAAACTTTGCTGGTTTCTCAGGGCTAGAGAGAAACGCTCCCTCCAGAGACAAACTCTGTAGTACTTAACCACAGCACCGTGTATTCAAGAGGCCGTGTACAACTCGAAGGAGCCAAGCACCACATTATTCAGATACCACAACCAACACCTGCACCCAACAGCTGCCAGAGCTGGAAAAAGAGAAACTTTATACATCAAGTTGATGGCAAGCTCGTGTTAGTCCTGTGTGCTTGTAAACCAGTTACACGCTGTCAGAGGGCAGTTAAAATTTGATGGCTGGTCCATCAGAATCCACAGTTACGAAGCAAATAAACGGGGGAAGAAAAGGGAACTGAACGTTTACTGGCACGTTAAAAGAAATCAATTCAATGTTAGTTTTGAAAAGAAAAATAAAAAAAATCAGTGCTCTCATCAAACAGAAGCAGCAAAGATCCAAAGCTGGAAACTCAATGTAGTAGTATCATCGGGCAGCCTGTGACAGGTTTTTTTCACTGATTTTTGGTCAAGAACACAATGCTATTGCTGTACCAGCCAATTTATTTTTAGGTGCCGGTTCAGCCAAACGTCCTTCTGGTGCTTGTGGCATCTGAGGAAAAACTGGCAGGAGTGACTTAGCCCATTCTACAGAACAAAGAGAAAGACCGTTCCCTTTACTCTAGCAATTCCTCTGGACCTTCAAATGTTATAAACGATTGATTTCTGTAACAGATTTCATCAAATGCTCATAATCTGAAGTCCTCGCATCAGGTCAGTGATGTCTCCACTCAAATAAACACGCAGCATTTTGTTGCTGACCTGAGGGATGCCGTAGGAGAATATTAAAGAGCCTCTGTGTCTCCCTAAAGAATGGTCACCCCAGGTCAGACAACTCTTGGATTTCTCCTCACAATAATGAACCTGAACCAAAAAATTGGAAAAACTCCTTGGAATTGAGGCAAAAAATTCTGAGTGACCCTTTGTGACGGGCAATGACTGTTCCCCTCCGGAACCTAGAGCATGTGGTATATGGAGTGAGAGGTTACCAGTATCAACGGCATTTATTGGCTGCTGAGAAATGTGAGATGTATTTTTTTTATATACACACATATAAAAAAATAAGAGTGAGGTAGATAAATGTTTGAAAAAAAATCAAAAACTGTCCCCCTGTCATACTCAAAAACCCTTATCTCAGTATTTAAATTTATTATGGGGCATCTCTACAGTGATTTAAACTGATATCACAAAAATAAATAAAAAATCCTACATAGAATACCTTCTTAATTAACTTTTTTGTCTTTTTCATTTTTAAAAGGGAAAAATAACTACGGGACAGAGGCAAGAGAAGATAATGGGACCTAAACTACACAAGCAAAAAGCACTACAAACTTTTTAAAATCTCCAGTCAAAACTAGCAATCAGTATATTTTAATTCTTTGTTCTTACTCAAAAGATTTAAACATTTCCATCCCAGAACCACCTCTTCACTGCCATCATTTGGTTGGATCAATGCTAAACGAAGGCTTGGATGCTGTAACTAATGCAAGATGAGCAACTGGTATGACTCCTTGGTTGTAGACTTTGACAGCCCCCTCCTTCCCCTTTCACCAAGGCTTCTGCAACTGAACAAACAAGCTTACTCATTTTCTTTTGTTCTGAGGTTTGGTCTACGATTTAAGCCACAAGCTTGTACTTGTACAGGTTTCCATAGCTGCCAACACTTAACTGTTTGCTAGCCATGCCACTGGCCCCAGCTACGTGCTTTCCGCCCAGCCCCGTGGAAATGGCGTGGTGGGTTTGGTGGTGGTTGGGTTTTTTTTTGGTTTTTTTTTTTAAACCAGGGGTGCGAAGCACAGCCCGGGGTGCCCTCCACGAGGGCTTCCTCATTCGGAAGGTAAAGAGCTGGGGTTTGCTGGAGCCAGGAGTTCAATGGCCACGCTAAGAACGCCTGGCATCGCCAGCTGCAACTGGTAGAGCTCTTGTTCACGGGGTGGAAGGGTTAAAATAGTCGTCTTAAAAATCAGTGACCCGAAAGCCTGGTGTCTGCTGTTGTACCCAAAGAACGAAATAAAATAAAAAAATACATCTACGTGTGTGTGTGTGTGTCTGTGTGGGGAGTGGGTGTGGGGATGGGCGCATGGGTGTGTGCCACAACCAAACCAAGCGGGGCGGGGAGGAGGGGTAGGACCCTTGTACAACAACGAATATAAACACTGAACAAGAATGTACTAAATATTTAACCTTTTTTTCTGACCTGAGTTTGTATCATGCCTTGCACTGTAAGAGACTCGCATGCTGCCTGGGCAGAGGTTAGCGGGAAGGAAGGAAAACCGGGGTTCAAAAACACCACAGCACTGTTAGAGTGTTTCCGTGCGGGGTGTCCCGTCTTTCTCCATGTCCCCCTCAAAAGCCCCGTAAGCCCACACAGCCAAGATGTTGTAAAACAACTAATGGAGGGGAGGGGAGAGAAAAAAAAAAAAAAGAGGAAATGTATTTATAAAAAGGCATTAAACAGTTCATGGCAAATCATATGAAAGGTATCAGTTACTGGGAAGGAGGAAGTAAAAGTTACACACTATAGTACAAAGCATAAGAAAATTTGTTGAAGTGGGAGGGAAGGGAAGGGAAGGAGGGCAGACCTGAAGGTTTTCATAGATTAAATCCACAAAGGTAAAGAACAAAAAAAATAGCAGCTTTTTTCTGTACAGACATATAGATGAGTATCTGAACCGTAAAAAAGTTATAAAAGTGACACAAAAGACAATGTGTATGCAAATGGATCCATGGTCTAACATAGAACTGCAAGACCCTTCGAGAAGTCTTAATAATAAAGAGAAAAGGTCAACAAAGCATCATATACTTGAATCCGGTTACTGCTTTTTTTTGTCTTCTCCAATTTATGTTTCTAGGTGTTTTTTTTTCCTTGCAAGCCTGTGAAGGAAGGCAGGCTGCAACGATGGAGATCTCTGCCGGTTATTTTCATGTTTTTCATGTTTCGTTTTTTTGGCGTGCGGTTGACTTTTTTTTTTTTTTTTTGTATAAAATGCACGTGTTTGTTTAGCTCACCACTGCCAGTTTTGTCCAGAATTCATTGGGATTGGGGATGGGGTGGAGGGAGGGCTGTTTCTTTACCCCATCCCTTTTATCTTCTCCATCAGAAGAATAAAAATAATCACATTTTGTCCAGTTTTGAGAAAAGATCTAGACAATTTTAATTTTTTTTTTTTTTTTCAATACCAGTGTATGATTGAATAGAATGTATTGGTCAGGATCTCTTTTAAACAGAGCAGTTCATTACTGTGCTCCTTCCATGCCAACAAAAAAAAACAAAAACAAAAACCAAAGAGTTCATTTTTTTTGGCAAAATTTGGCAGCGTTGAAAATGGTAACAACCTTGGACGAATGACGGCCCTTTTTTATTGTTTTATGTGTTCCTAAAAAGATTAAAGAGCAACATTAAAAATCCAGTCTTTTTTAGTAGTTTTTTCATGTGTGGGGGGTTTTTGTTTGTTTGTTTGTTTTTTGTTTGTTTGTTTGTTTTTTATAAAGACCTACAGTGTTAGGCAGGTGCTTGCAGGGTACCGGGGAGCCACCTGGCCTGCGATATCTTTGATCTGATAAAAGTGCTGTACGGTTGAACTTGCACGCAGATATGTTTCCCATTATGAAGCAAAGAGAGAGAGAGAAAGAAAGAGAAAGAGAGAGAGAGGAGAGAGAGACATCAGATCCCAAGTTTTCTGTTGCTATTAAGTGTTAACATTAGAGTTTTAAAAGGCCAACTGTGCGCCCCATGAACGGAGTCCGTTACTGAAACAAACATCTGCTTGCATATTGAAAAAAGAAAAATACGGTAACTTGTTTACTGAAAAAAGGGTTCTCCCAAGTGCAGCTATGGCAGTTCTGAAGATCCACTGAGGTACAGTAGGCTTTTGAATATATTGTAATTTTCTTTCTTTCTTCCCCCAATGCGTGTGTTTTTCTGTGTGTTATTTCTGTGAGATTCTGGTTCTAAGGATCAGCAGGCCGAAGACTGGGGCAACGGTAAGGCCCTCTCGTTCTTGCGTCCCCCGTTCATGTGTGCGTACGGCTGTCTCTCCTCGAAGCTGGCCCGAAGGACCACCACGCCTGGGCCGTTCTCGGCTTTGTGTCCTGAGTGCTTGTCAGTGGGTTGGAGGGTGGAAGAGGGATCTAAAGGAATGCTCTCCATGTTTTCAGTCTCCAGGTCAAGCTCCTCTGTATCCGGAGGCTTGTTCTCTTCACTGTAGAAGAAGGAGACCTCTTTGAATGCTGGATCCAGCTCGTCTTTAATGCTACCGATTATTTCCAGGAAGGAGGGCCTCATTTTCGGATTGTACTGCCAGCACATGCGCATCAATTCAAACCTGGACAGGAAACACACAGCAAAACCGTTTACTGAGGTGTTTTACGAGCCCCGGCTGGAGCCCAGCCAACCGTGACTGAATCGGACCGCGCGCGCTAGAAAACCCTTCCCTTCCGATGGAAGAGGAAACGGCAGAATTTTTACAGGCAGAGATCCCCGTGTCACGTTTCTTTCTTATCACTGATTTACTTCTATAGCTCCTGTCTCAACCTTCTCCGCTCCCTTCCACACACTTGCCCAGGTGGACACCTGACATCCAGAAGCATTTCATGCTTTTATTCTGCCTTGGTATTCCTCTCCTTTTCCTCCAAATTACCCTGTGCTTACTCATTCGTACAGCTACATGACAGTGCCTCTCCGAGTATCTTTTTCGGACAACCAATCCCTACCCTATCAATACTGTCGTGGAAAAAAAACTAAAATAGGAACTACACACAAGGTAAAGCACCGTTTTTTCCCCGAAAGAAAATTACATTAAAATTAATTGTAATCCCCAAAAGACATTCGCCAAAGACGTTCTCTAATCTTTTATTTTAAAATTATGCTGTTTTCATTTACAGCCAGGGCTGCGTTAGTATTTTACGGAGCGTGAGCTCATCTGTTTAAGCACATACACGATTAGATCTGTACAATGTCCCATGCTGGCAAAACAAAACCGCACAAGGAAACAGCAATACACACACAGTGAACACAGCGTATTCATGACACAGCAAAATCGGATATTCCTGAGAGGTTGCCCTGAACTTTAAACACAACACAAGAAAGGATTTCACTGCCTGTGAATGTGGAATAGGGACGTCTTCTGTTAACGCAGCACAAGTAACAGGACAAATTTAAATAAGAAAAGGAAGATAAACATTAATTCTTTGAGCCAATCCTCTGTGTACACGGTACTTGGAGGAACACGCTGAGTGTAGCACGTCACCACTGGCCAAAACCATTACTTTCTGCGCTAGAATAAGAATGGATCTTTAAAAAAAAAACAACACCAAAGAAAAATCTTTCCGTTAAGGCAACGTACCAGAGAATCCTTCACATCTCCAGCGTACCTTCCAGCACGGTGAGCTGCAGTCCCAGCAAGACCTCATCTCCCCAGGGCTGCCAGCCTTCCCCTGCAGGGCTAGCCAGGCCACCTAAACTTTTAGTTTTGAGTCAGTAAAACAACCACGCCATTCCCTCAATTTCCACCGATTTTCAGAAGGTAAGCAAGCAATTCTATTTTATGCTTTAATTAGCTCTCACTGCCTCCACTAAACTCCCCAGCAGCAGTTTACTAGATATCTGCAGCAGTGTTTGGAATGATTATTTTTTTAAATTGAAAATAAACCAAACAAAAACAAAAACACACCAACAAAACAAAACAAAAACCCACCAAAAACTCACTGCTTTTCTGAATAGCACCCAAGTCCGTCACAGAGGAATGTCTTAATATCTCCAGAGTCACTGCCCTAGAAAAAACCCTTTCAAGAGGACTGTCACCGAGCTGGAAAACCCCGGACTCTGAGGCCTGTTGCTGCACATCGCTGCACACAGCGGGGTCCGGGGAGTCCGGGAACCCCAGCCTGAAACAAAACCAAAGCAAAGCAATCGCCTCCCCCAGAACCTCGCTCCTTGGGAAATACTGCTGCATCTCCTGCTCCTCGGGTGCGTTATGTTCCCAAGTGATGTGAACCAGCAAAGAGACGGAAAGCTGCCGCGTTTGGGATGCCAACGCTGCGGAGCGTGCTTCAACCGAAGCCATCTTAATGGAAGTGCGTTTGAAGTCACAAATATTCCTGGTCGAGCTCAGCCGGCACGACGACGCACCAACAAAAGTCAGCCACCTCAGCACGGCCTTGTGACACCCAAAAAAAAGCTGGCAAAGCCAGCCTGCGCCGGGAGAACTCCCCGGGTACTCAACGCTGTGTTGTAACAGGCACACAGACATATAAACATTGTTAAACTATTGCTTGGTTTTGAGCCTTTAAAAAGTCTTTCATAGCGAAAGTGAAGCCAAACTATAAAAACTGCACTATACCCTCACCCACAAACGAGGAGGGAAGCTTGAGACAGAAATACATAAAATCCATTTCTGTTACTTCATTGCTGTTTCCTTTCCAGCTGACTGCTGCGTCCCCGAATAGAAGCGTTAGCTGGAGCCAAGAACACTGGATATTCGCTGGCGCTTTGCCCCGAGGCCTAAGGGCAATGCTAAGGAGATACCACAAGCAGTGGAGTAATGCATGTGACATCAGCACAAACACGGCCATGTGATGTTTCTTTTAAGCCATTCCAGATTTAAAAACCCTACAGAGTTCCCATAAAAGGATATTTTTTTTTTCTTTTTAACTCTGTGGGTTCAAAGACCTTGCTTACATTATCTTGAACAGAAAAACCCCTTCCAGTGCACAAGGGAAGAATTTACAGGCTGTTAGTACCACCTGAGCAGTTTTATAAAGTGTATTTCTGACTGGTGGCAACTGAGCTCAAGGAAGCTGCAGGCATCGTCGTGAGATAAAGAGGACGAGCCAGTGTCTTTCCCATGCATCTTCTGCTCAAAGAACCGAGCAGAAACTGAGTTACTTCTTGCACAGAGACAGTAAAACACAGACAACAAAGTTACTACAGAAGTTACTACAGAAGCTACATTACATTTGAGCGCGTTTGTGCTCTGCATCAGATTGATTTGGTGGGGAAAAGCGAGCAGAGCTCTCCCATCCCGCGGCTGCTACCGCGGACGTCAGCTCTGCAGAGCAGACCCTGGTTCCTAACCCAGCGCTTGCCAGGAACAACGGGAGAATCAGCAATGCGTAAATAGTCTAGTCATCTACAATACATGTGGGGGAAGCAATTTTGCTTCAAAACCAGAGTGGAATTCCAGCCTCCACAACTTTTAAAAGCCCCATGGGAACACACTGTCTGAGAGCTTCAGCTGTAACAAACCTTCTTGCCACGCAGCCATCACCTGATGAACACCGCCATAACAATGGTAGTACATAAAAACATAACTTATTACACAGGAAGAGGAGAAAAACAGCAAAGCTCCTCCTGGCACCGTCTTATTGAACCATCTGTCTTACTGCATGGTTCTGTCTGTAAAACCATGCAAACTATGCCAAGAGGGTGTAGCATAAGCAGAACTGAGTCTTGTTTCACCCTGTGTAAGTGTAAAAAGCCTCTAAAAATACCGTCCCCTTTGTGCTTAGCCCTTTCACAGGGATTTACCACCTCTCTGAGCCACAAGACAACCGCGCCGTAAAAATCCCCCTTTGCACAAGCATCCGATACACGCAAGCTGCAGAACAGAACCTCTCCGGTTCTTCAAGTGTCCCTGCTCTCTGATCCACCTAAAAAGCTACTGACTCGCTGCTACCAGGGGTTAGCCAAGCACCGCCGCTACCGAGCATTACCAGCGTTGCAGTCTTGGGAGAGATGGAACGTCCAAGACCGCTTGCACCATGCAGTGTTCATGCGGGGGGGCAAGAAGAGGCCCTTACGAAAACTGCTGCACTGTGGCTGGAGCGTGCACGGCTGTGTCAACACTCACATAATCTGCGAGGTTAAAAATAGTAGATTCGGTGACAGTTGCAGCAAGATTCTTCTCTCTATTCTCATCTACGCTACCCCACAGCAGTCTACCTCCTCCACCTGTTCTGGAGGTTTCTGTATATCAGTATACTTCCCTCTCTCTACAGAAAGGTAAATTTGTGTTCTGCTCGTAATTTTAGTTGTTTCCAAGTCAAACTAAATTAAAGACCTGTCTCTGCATATGTAGCCTACCACATGGGATAAACAGAAATGCAGTTCCTGGCTCCCCTTCTCTCTTGCTTTCACGTAGTACCAAGCACAAGAAGTATATTGACTTCCCTGCAGCAGGTGGACTTTGCTTTCTGGACACCTTGAGTTAATATTGTGAGTTTAATATTAAAAGTATCACAGTCAGTCTCCACCAGTAAGAAGTACCAAGAAACCTGTCTTTAAACAGAATCTTTTAGCAACCTCCACAAAAAGAGAGAGGACCCCGCCTGAAATATGCTGGGGAATGCCTGGCAAGATCCACAGGCAATTTCAGGGCTCTTTGCAACTCTGTCACAAGCGCCGTTCTGTCCATCCAGTAATTTTCTTCTTACGTCCAGCGCCGAGAAGCAGGTTACCGGACAGCTGGCGAGGGGAGAGGAACTCTGCCTGCAGACCAGGGCTCTCTGCCTGCCAGCAGCAACACATGCGAGGTTCAGGACTGGCAGCAGTTGTCAGGTTAGCAAGCGTTGCACAGCATCTTTACAGCATCTTGGGCAAACAGGATGGAAGACAGGGAAAGAAGCGAAAACATGCGAAGAAAAAAGCACCATAGTAACGCAGAATAGGTTCTTTGAATGCCCAATGCATGTGCGTAGATCAGCGGTGAAGACTATTCCTGCAGCTCCCTACTGTTATTCCTACAACAGCTTATTTGAATTTCAGCAGACTTGGGTGCCTGTTCTAATACAAAGACAAAACAAGCTGAAAAGGAGCTAAAACAAGCCACAATAAGCTTCTAAGGTCAATACTTTTTTTTTTTCCAGTTTTCGACATTCAAGACGCTTTATACACAACTGTATCACCAAAAAAAAAAGACACCACTAAACTGGATGTGCCTTAGTTCTGAGTTCAGCCCTATTCCTTGTTCTGATGGAGAGAAGTGGCTAAATTCAAAGAAAGATTTCTTTATTCTGCACCTCTGCAACATCAGGCTAAAATCTTGGTGGCCACAACCAATGTGTGAACAGCTTCTTCCTTAAAATCAGCACAAAAAAGGCCTTTGCTGTTATACGCTGGTGCAGAGATTTGCTCTGCCAGACACTAACCAAATTCTTCCAGCTCGCAAGCCAGTTACCCTGAAAGTGGATTCATCCAGCAGCAACACCCAGCAAGCAGAGGAGTAGCTCTGAGGAGGAGGAGGAAGGAGAACAGGCTGGGTGGGCTGCAGTACAGAGAACTTCTTGCTGTGACTCCCCTCCCGTCCCCCTGTTCATACCACTCGTGCCCCAGGTTAATGGGGAATTTCTAATGCTGAATCTCTTGCTGAGTTTGGTCTCACTCTAGAGGTGTTTTTTTCTCCTATGGACTTGGGGAGCTAAGCCCTGCACATACCCTGTTTTTCCCCCGTTTCTGCCTACTTCCTCCCTCCATTACACAGCTCTGACCGTGTTAAACAATCACCAGTCAATCTGACTGCCAGAAATTCTCCACACCATCGTGGAAGGGAAAGAATGTGAAACCGAGGAATCACATGGCACCTACACCTCCCCCTGCATATACCACCCACCCCCCTCAAACAACAAAACAACGCTGCCTGTCATCTGAAACCAAAGCCAGCGCTCCAGCCAAAAAAGCTCTTTTCCTAAGAATCCCAAGCAGCTGAGGCCCTTAAGTGATTGTATCCCTTCTGTGGGCCTCCAACAAATTTCAATAACTGCAAGACGCAGTATTTCCTTCCCAAAAGCCAGTTTGGGAAGTATATCAAAGTAATAAAGTCTGAAGAACTGAAGCTGCTGTACACAAAAGCCAGCAGAAGTATTTCAACAATGTAAGGCTCAAAACCGAAGCCTGCTGCATTGCACACCCTCCTCCGCTGCAAGGCTTTGTATTGATTCTCGGGGTAGGCAAAGGTTTTTCTGCGTATTTCCTTCTGTGCTTACAGGAAAGGAAACTGTTAGCAGCGAAGATTTGTTTGTCTCAATGTGATGAGCACTGTGACTGAAATAGCAGATCCAACGCCGCTTCAGACAAAGGAATGATACATTGACTGATCTGTATGCTGAACTAAAAAGTTGAATTCCCCTGAGTTTATGCAGAGTACATTTTGGCTCACCCTATGCTCTTTTTTCTCTTTGTGTTCAGCACAACTACTTTAAGGAGAAGAGACAAGATTTAGGCACAAAGTCGTCTGCTGTAGCAAACGTCACTTACAAGCTTTTAAGTCTAATTTTATTCAGGAACACAAAGATTGGGTTTTTTTTCCTTATTAGAGGAAAAAGCCCAAAGTGAGATTCTGGCCATAAGCAAAGCTGTTTTCTGGTATGTTTAACTACTGTATCGGGCGGAAGCCGAAGGGATCAGGAAGAATAAACTGTGTGCTGAGAACGGTGGTAACTGTTGACACTTACAGCATATCAGGACAGTTGTCTGGTTTTTCCAGCAGACCTCCTTCCATCACAAAGCGGAGCACTTGTTCATTGGTCATGCCTTGGTACGGCTGCTCCGCTAATGTTGCAATCTCCCAAAGTACAACACCGAAAGACCTGGAAAACAAAACAGAACTTCAGAAAGAGGAGCAATAATTTTTTCTTAGATGATGCTGAGCAGGTCCACAGGTATTTTCTTTTACCAAAAATTTCCCATTGCTCAAAAAGTATGCAGCTATGGCCATAGCCACATCACCTAGCATAAGAGACTGTTGACTTCAAACACCTCTAGTCAGTGGTGAGAAACAGGCCCCCAGTTCTGAATGACTCTTCAGAATGGCCCCTGTAAGAAAAGACCACTAATATTGCATCTCCATTTTTCACACCATAATCTACAGCTCAGAACTGGTCATGATTATAATCATTCAGCAGTCCAACACTACTTGGTTACACTGGTTCCGTACAGGTCAATCAGTAAAAAGCCACCACAAGCTCACTGCATTGACTGGAAGCCTCCTAACTCAGAGGAGATTTAAGCTGTGAGCTTGCTTGGAGAATCAGCTCACATCTCCTCTCCCCTTGCCCATGGCTTTGAGTTCAGACTTTAGGCGCACTGCGGGGTGGGAAGAACAGCGGAGAGGAGAAAAGGAAAGATGCAGGTAAGGAAAAAAAAATTTTAAAGTTCTGTTCCTATCTCTGAGCTTTCTGCACAGAGGACCTCAGCTTGGATCAACACCTGATCGTTAAAGTCTGCAAAAAGATCTGTGTGTAGCTGGGTGCAGGGAATCGAACCTTCTAAGAAGCTGGCAAAGTTGCAGAGACTTGTTATTTAAAGGGAGCTCGACAAGCCCCCCTGCCCAAGCCAGAGATAGCAAGAAAAAGATCTGTACATTTAAAAAACTAATCTCCAAATCTTCACATAACGTATCTCAGATACTCCTGATAGCAGTTGAGAAGGCAGTAACACAGAACTGTAAGCTCTCATTCCAGTGCAAGCTGCTTTTCATCCGAAATACTGGAGTCACACAAATCCGCTTTAAAAGCTGCATTTTTCCCTTTCTGCTGTAGCAAGCCCAGAGGTAGAGAGCAAATGCACACCAGCACACCTGTGCCTCTCATCTGCCTTACCACTAAACGCAAGAAAACAAACCAACCTCTATTCCCCAGGCACAAAAACACTTCTTGGGTAATACTTTCCATTTATCCCTCTGCTTTGGTTTCTTCCACATTCTAAGTCAAAGGTGCAAAGTAAGGATCAAGGCATTCAACAGCAAGCAACAAAACCAATTTTTGAAACACACAAATGTGAATGTTCCCCAGCTTCTTGTACCAAGATCCGCATTTGCTGCTTCACGAGCCAAACTTTTAAAGCCCCCAGGAGAAATTCAGTTACCCCTTGTGCAACATATATGTAACTATATTCTTGAAACAGAGCTTCTAGCTCCTTCCAACTAACTACAAAGGACAGCAGAAGTGAAAAAAGAAGTCTGTCTAATAATAGAATTGATTACTGGCAAAGAAAGATAAGCATAGTTATGTAATTGGGTAGTTTGGATGCAAGTATTGACACTTTCTAAAAATATCTCAATTTAAAATTAGTTTATTGAGCAGACATGGCTCAAATTGTCTGCTCTGCACTGAAGAGTCATCTACTTTTAGAGCTGTTGTGCAAAGACAGAAAATCTAGATGCTGCCTTGTCTTCTGTGGCTAAAATGCTGAGTCAAGCTTAGTGAAAGAAAGCGTCATTTCAATAGGGTATTGTTGTGAAAACAGGAGTCCAGTATTATTAGCTGGTTATGGTAGAGTGGTTTTATCTTTCAGTTATCCACTATATCTAAAATGGTTTGCATCTGGAGCCAGAAGCACAAACAGACTTGCAACTGTTTGCCTTTCAGGGGAGGCATGGACAGAGGGTCAACTCAACATTTTGGTGCCTTTGAAGCTACTTTGATCACTGCAGGAATAATAAAAACAAGTCTTACGCACCTACTAGTCATATTATCATAACAAACAAACTTACACTGCTTCTTCAAGGCAACTACCAGCTCTGAAAGAATGCAAGATGCTGAAGACTTTATTTACAGAAATACACCCTCACCCTGAAGAACAGTATTACATTCATTTTAAATGTTCTCCTTCCCTAAGTACAACAAAAACAGTATTGTCTAATTACCTCATTCTTCTGCCTGAAAAGCAATAAAAGAATGAATTGCTAAAATAAAGCTCCACCCTTCAAAACCTCCAGACACTCTTCTTGCAGTTTGCCATTTCACCTTACAGCTTATAAATCTTGGACTCTGACCACTCAAACAGTTTTGACTTTTTGACATTTTGGCTTCTAAAACCTATCTCAAAGAACATGGAACCAGATGTCACAATATCATACCAAAAAGGCAGGAAAACAATCTCAACATTTTTTCCTGTTTGATGAAAATAAATGGCCCCCAAACAGCCAAGCTACATGGTTTACATGAAGCAACTTCAAAAACTGAGCCAATACAAGGAGCCAGGTAATTTTTCCTGGCACGAAGAGACCTTCAATGTATAGTGTTTGGTCTAAAAGTTATTGAGAAGTAAACTGGAATGATCCTTTTAGCTATGAACAGATCAGGTAAATAGACACTATTTCGTGACAGTGATAAGACAAGCTCCACTATATTGGAATTCAGGTTGAGATTTCTGAATCTATAGCTGTGGATACATGTGGCAAATGCAAAAGTATACGTGTTCTAAACAAATGGCATATTCCTCATGGTGAACCAGGCTTTTTGTACCTCAAGATAGTATACCTATGTGAAGCAAATTTCGGAATAAGTCACTCCTAACAATTAAGACTGCAAACCATCCCAAGGAGGAACTGTCTTAACTATTGCTGAGAGCTGTGGACCTCCTCTCTAAAAAGCAATTTTTCCTTCTCTATGCTTTCAAGTAAAAATCTGTCAGATTTTACTACTGCTCCTCTTACTTTTTCCAACCTTATAATCAGTAAACTACTTCCTTGATGTGACTTCTGGCTAGGTTACTTCACTCAGATTGTCCTGCTGATAAACCGCAAGACTGTTTGCTCAACCCTGCTTTGGAGTGAATGACCGATGAATGCCAAATCTTGTTAATGTTGAAGGGAGAACTCACGTTCTTCCTGCAACAACTAAATACTAATTTACTTCTGATGCTTGATTTGGTGTCACATCTGTGGGGGTTTTTTTGTCTGGAATTTGAGTTATGTTTAAACAGTAACGTCACCTAACAGTTACAGGTTACAAGGAAAGCGCGTGTGGAACAAGTACTGTACGTCATCGAAGCCAAACATCGGATCCGCTGCAGCCCGCTTTTGGTACAATGGCTGGAGTTGGTGGCTGGACTTAAGTTACTGTTGTGCGGTAGGAACGGGCAGGTCCGCCAGCTCTTTACTCCAGGCTCGTTCAGTTCTACATCTAGGGATTTTCTAGTGATATATTCCAAATTTCTGTCTGCTTTGTGAAGCCATTACAAGTCCCAAAATTCTTTTACTGCAGGGGGACTGCCAAACCAATGCCTGTGCTGCTCCATTAGATAAATGGCTGATACAGGGCTTCCCCTTCAACTCAAACTGGTTAGTTTGATCTATTTCCAAGTTGGAGGGTTACTGGATTCATAAATAAGTTACTAGCCATAAGAAAAATGTTTTAAGCAACATTCTGGTGCTTTGCTTTTTCACTTGCTATATAATTCCCCTGATGAACCTTTCACTCAAAGCTGGTGCTGTGGACTACAGTACACTGACTCCAAAATCCTCAAGCTGTTTAAAGAAAATGCAGTTTACTACTAAAATACCATTCGTAGTGACTTCTAGACATTTGGAGGCAATCAGCTGCCAATTCTGTAACAGATCAGCAGTAAAAACATCTTGTTAGGAAGGCAAAGAAACCATAAAAGACAGAGTAGAGGTTTTGCCAGTACACGTTCATCTTCTGCCAAGCCCTCCCTACCTATCTGCAAAAGTTTGGGGGGTGTGGTGTGTGGGGAATTGTTCCGGAGTATTATTTCTTCAAAGAAGTATATTTTGAAATTTCCTGAATGTCTCTGTTAATAACTTCACAGATACAGCAACTAGGCAATGCGCTTTTAAAGAAAAACCTATTTCTGCATCTTGCGGTATATAAAACAAGCAAACAAAGCTCCAAATGGAGAAGGATATACACAAGGGAGAACTCCCAAGAAAAAACCTGCCCGTGTACACAAACCGTCTGTGGGTAAGTAGAGTTATTTAAACAGGAGGTTTTGATAGAAAAGCAGGCTAGCACTATGAACCTTTCTATATTCTTGGCAACTTTTAATGCTTTTCTTGAAGGATGGCAATTTGAAAAATGACAACTTGCTCTTCCAGGTGAAGGTAATGTTTTTCACTGCACAACTGATTTTACAACCCACAGCAGGAAACACACCACCACCTCCAGTTTTGGAAATCCATTTAACTCTGTTCTCTCTGAGAGCAGAATTTAACCTCAAGAGTTCTTGATTTTGCAATGCAAATATGAAATATAAAGCGGAATGCTTCCCAGTGGAAAAAGAGTTACATTTGAGGAGACAGGAGAAGCAGTAAAATTAGTTAAATCTACTAAAACCAGAAAAGAGGCTAGAAAGAAGAGGGGCTAAAAGAGTTTTTCAGAGCCCCTTTTTTGTTACCAGACATCGGAGTGTGTTGTGAAGACTCCATCTTTCAGTGATTCTGGGGACATCCAGCGGACAGGCAGCAAACCTTTCCCTCCTTTACGATAATAATCTGTCTCGTAGATATCTCTTGTCATGCCAAAATCTAGAAGGTATAAATGTTTTGAGTTTGCATGATAAAATGATGAACATTTCCCCTTACTACAAGCCACTGTAGCCAGCAGAGAAACTCAGTTTGGTTCAAAGAATATGCAATCAGTTACAATGACACTTACCTTTGCAGGCACTTTACCTGAGCACTTAGGGCTGGTTAGCTTCCTTCCCCACAAAACCAAAAGACATTTTTACCATTGACTTCAGTGGGTGAGAAGTCTGAATGATTTAAATATATTAATATGAAAAGTTCCAGGATTTATGCTCAAGCCTTGCAGTAAGCTAAGTCTTCTGAAGGTCATACAAATCACTAATTTGTTCTCTAAATTCAATGATTTTCTTTCCTTTTCAAAGAGTGTGAAGAGCTCCTTTAGTACTTAATGCTACTGTCTTTAATTAAAGAATCTCACACGTTGAGTGAAATGCTTCTCTCTTGGGGTTTTTCTTTTTCCTCTTTCCAAAGGTAATTTCCAGTTCCTGTATAATACTCCATCTCAAATGCTACAGAGGATTAGGCTATTCATTTATGACTAATACAGATCAATATTAAAGACAAAACTTTGGGTTATACGTATGACCTTAGCTGTAAATACGTAAACATTTGCAAGACTTGGATCTAACAACGTTCATCTCCTGATTGTAACTCAGACTTATTCCCTAGGTTTTCCCTAGGGTTTTTTTGGTACAATCAGCTTGACACGCACAAAACTGCTGGGCCTTGGACGAGCCTATTTAAACCAGTTACTATGCTTTCAGACACTAACCAAAAAGTTAATAAATCAGGTGGCATCAAATCTCTGACTAATATTAAAGGCTGTTTGCTAACACAGCAGACCTAGGGCAAAATCCATTTTATCAATACAGACCTGTAGTTGCCCTTTTTTGATGGAGTGAAAAGAGGACAGAGTTCTTCCAGTTCTCACAGTCATTATTACCAGTCTATGACTTGGATGAGTGACCGACCACCGATCTTTCTCGTTCTGCTAGGGACACTGGTACCCTCAGTGATTATGACTAGAAAGCCCATCTGTGCAGCTATTCCATCACTCCCACACACCAGCGTGATTTTATCCTGGCTGAATGGAAAATTATTTAAAAATGTAATGCAAATAAGAAACAGATCCACAGTGAGGATAGGACAGTGTAGCATAAAGCTCTTCCTCTGAGATCTAAACAGTGTGAGTTGGCATGTTCCAGTCAAGATGCGCCTAAACTGTTTTTACATGAAGGGATTTTCAGTACTGGTATGTAAATGAGAGCAGTGCAGCATATTTCACAAAATGCTTTTGGGGTAACCATGTACCATCTTCAGTTCAAAGAATTGTAAAACATGCTGGTTGGGGTGGAGGAGTGAGAAAACCGGAATGAGAAGGATTCAGACTGACTTCCCCCAAACCTGCAGAAAATGCACAAAATCCCCCAAAGATCTTATTTCCTAATTAACTGACTCAAAATGAAATCATTTTTTCTTTCTCCCAAATGACAGGATTACTTACACAAATTATCAAAATAGCTGAGTTAAGCTCACAGAAAAAGAATTAGTTTCCTACAGCAGAATGCTGTTGCTATACATGTTATTTTAATATGCGCAACTCAAAAACAGCCAAAAGCTTAAAATCACCCTCTCTGGAGACAAGTCTGAAAAAAATCATCTGACACTATTTTGGAGGGATGGTGAAGGGGAAAAAAAAAAAGCAGTGTTTAACAGCAGAGCAGAGGAAAAGTCATTTTGTTGTCTGGAAAGCAGAACTCCAGTTCAGCCTGGAAAGCATCCAGCTGTAGTCAAGCCTTACATTCCACTTCCAAATCAGATATGCTTTAAAATAATCCTAAAATTCTTATTCTTGAATCAATAAACAGGAGGTGGAATTATTTTTGTGCATTAACAGAAAAACGAATGACACACGAGTGGTAACTACGCCATCCACCCAGATGTCTGCAGCATCTGCACCTCAAATCACTGCTTCACTAGCTCTGTTTAAACCCACACGCTATACAATTTCCTCACTGGAACAACAGCAAGTAGAGGTATTCCAAGAGTTTCAACTCACTGACGACTGCTCACAGGTCTTAAATCACAGCAAGCCTTCATAAGGAACATATTTCATTCTGCAGAAATTTAAACTACAGCTAAGTTTTAAAAGGTCTTTCAAAATGCTTTCAAAAAATTAGAATGCCTTCTAAGATGCTGATTTTTCAGGATGACATTTTTCATTTGTGTAACAGTCAAGAAAGCATACCTCCAATTTTCACTGTGAAGTCTTCTGCCACCATGCAGTTTCTTGCAGCAAGATCTCTGTGAACAAATTTGTTGGCGTTGAGGTACGCCATCCCATCAGCAATCTCTCCCGCCATCTGAATCATCTTCTTCAGAGTTGGAGGTGCCTGGCCAGGATTATTCTGAGCAAGATTAAGAAGATAACACATGTAACATGGGGAAAGAAAAAAAGGTAACTATTTCTACATCACACTGTAACATAGTATTTTTACTTTTTTTTTTTAAATAAAAAGCACATTATCACAATTCAGCCGGACATGATCCAGGCTAAACAGAAATGCACAATTATGTACACCACGGCATCTGCTTAGCGGGAAAACTGGCCATATCAAGTTGGGTTACAAACAGAACTCCCACTTAGCTCTTTTAGGCCATTCTATTTTAGGGAATAGAAGCCAGACAGACTTTTTTGGTATAAGGATGTCACCTTACACCTATGGAGTTTAAATGTCCATTGTTCTGCTACACAATTCTGAGATACGAAGCAGAGGGCTTATTTAGAGATTTCTACTGTTTTACTACCTCCACAAACAACCAGAAGATGTTAAATGATTTCCTCTTCCCCAGTTCTCCATAACCAGATGTCTCTTGAACCAATTCTATTTGTAAATAGGAGAAAAGCTTATAGGACAATTTCTTCTGAAGCAAATTCACTCCTTCGCATCCATGGATATATGGCTTTTGCCATGCTCAATCTCATGGATGAAGGAGTTAAAGTATTTATACACAATCAGTTAAGTCCCGCCATCCCTTACCAGTATGAATTTGCCTAAGCTTTACACCCCTTGGATAATCACCACTGACACTAACCAAAACCATGACCTCATATACTGAATTCTACTAATGACAAAGATCCTGAAACACACACATCAAGTCACTGAACTTTATCACATTCCCATTCACAGACTAAACGGTTCCTTACCCACCTTCCATGGAAACTGTTCACACCCAACCCTGTCATCAAACTGTGCTACTTTGTGCTGAGATAATGAGCCATACCCACTACTTCCAGGCTCCCAAGAGCTGAATGCAACATACCGTATGGGAGCCAAGAAGATATAACCAAGAAAGCCCAGAAGGACCAACGTGAGTTGAATCCCCAGGAGGAAGAGATAGGTATGGGAGCTGCATGTTAAATTATCAGTAAAGCCAGTGATCAGGCAAGCCCTCCATCCACATCTTACTGAAGCACCCTGTCTTCCTCCTCACAGAGGTCCTCACAAGACTTTGCTCGACTCTTTACATTGCACGTCAAGGAAGACAGGGAAATTAAGCATCAGCCTATCACAGATTGCTTTGGAGACACCAGCATACAAGACAGAAAAGCCAAGTACAGAGCTCCTCATTTTGTTAATTTCTATATAATGTCACTGACCCTTTTTAGGAAGTTTGTTGAATTCAACACAAACTATTTAATATAACCTGAAACATTATTTATCATAAATGCTAACCAAGCCCTTAGTCCATAGTCCTACTGGTTACTTTCTGAATCTTGGATTCAGTACGATTATGTACTGTATCCAACCACTTAAGCAACCTGCTCTTGCTACATGCAGTGTCCTCCATTTATACCATATTCATTCTCTTGTGCACATATTGTGCTCATGTTCTGTTCCTTTAAGTTATTCACACCAGAATTTCAAGATCAAAGGCAAAAGTTGCTGAGCTCATTTTCATAGTCTACTATGATGTCAGTGGTAAGTGACCTATGTGTCATTCTTTATCCTTCAGACCCTGTATCATATGTGGCCATTTTTGCTGCTAGACTGATGCCCTACGTATCAGAGTGTGCATATTAGCTAAGATACTAGACTTTTACTTTACAGCAGAGGCAACAGGCAGGATATACAACATGAAACAATTATGCTAATATGCATGCTTCAACTAACTAATTTTTTAACATTTCAGTGAGAAATCAGATTAGACAAGAGATTTAATTCAAATCTGGAAAACAGGACTCAGTAACACAAGAAGGGACCTATTCCATGCAGTACACTGGGCTATTTGCAACAGCTACCTCATGAAAAAAGGTGTTGCAGACAACAGAGCAGCTCATGTTTTGTTCTCAGAGCTTACGGAGAAGGGCAAGAAAGGCTAATTGCCTGCTGCTTCCAATGTGACACTGCTTTGTTCAAGATTATTCTGAAGAAATAAAAGAACAACCAGCAACTCATGGCTCACCTCTGTGTCTGGCCTCAGTGATCTCAGGTAACTTTTGAGGTCTCCACGTGTCATCAGCTCCATGATAACCAGCGTAGGCTGGCCCTGAGAAACAACACCAAGCAGACGAACCTGGTGGAGGGAAAAAAAACCCCAACGTTCAGTTATAAATACAGCTAACTGAACTGTAGTAATCATTTATTCATGTCAATATGTAGCCCCAAACACCTGTGAACCTGTGGGAAAGGTCTGAAAGTAGATTTGGTTCCGCTCTCTGACTCGTGTTTCACAATACTATTATAAAGCTGTGCAGAGTTGAACCTAAAATCCCATGTTCCCACTTCAGTCAATGAAGACGTGCACTGAACGCCCTCATGCCAATAAGCACCATGGCCGTATGAATCATAGCCTTGTTACATTTTCATGACTTACCACATGGTGACAATTGAACTCCTTCATCACCGACGCCTCATTTAAGAACTCTATCCTCTCACGCATGCTTGCAGACTCATTCACAGTCTTGATGGCCACCCTGGTCTCCGGCTCATCCTTCACCACTCCCTTGGCTATTCCCTCATAGACCATTCCAAAAGAGCCTTGCCCAAGCTCTCGACACATGGTGATCTTCTCACGAGGCACCTCCCATTCATCTGGAACATACACTAACGAGAGAAAGAACAGGCCATGATGTTCCACTTCTGCAAGTGGTGTGATCACTCGCAGCTTTACGATACCGACTGCCCAAACAGTTTTACTGGAAAAAACACCAGACACAATGCTGAGCCCTTGCACTTCGTATGCAAATAATCCACGGTCTTTCCCATACAGAGATAGGTAGATGCTTGGCATACAAATAAATCTTAAAAAAATTGAAGTGGCCTCACTATGGTACTGACATAATGGGACAGAAAGAAGGAACCTCAAAGCACAAAACCAAGGTGGGAAGAGGCTTGAATCAATACTTCAGGCTTGAGCTTTTCTTCAGATTCTAGGTTTTCTCATTCTTCCAGACAGCATCAAACATACTTCTTCATCTGTATCAGTTTAGCATCCGCTGTATTTTATATTAACAGATTGATTTTATGACTAGAAGGAAACATACTCTCTGATCTAGTAGGCTCTTTGCATGAAACTATTCCAATTACTTGCACATACACAGTTGCACCAGTAAAGGTAGAACTTGCTGCTGCAAGTCTCTGATCTGAGGCAGAAGACAGATCTCAGAAGGTGGCTGCCAGGAAGGACAACTGCCTCAGGCAAGAAGACATCTGAGTAGTCACTGATGCTGCTGCCTATCAGTCACCAAAGGAGGGGACAGTTGTGTCACATGCTCTGGATGGGTGAAATGACAGGACGCAAAAATAGAGGATTAGAGCATCAACATTGACAGACCTTTAACTGTAATAGTGCCCTATAAAAAATAACAGTAAAACAGTCTGCTGCCACTCCAGCTAAACCCATTTGCCTCCTGGGGGCTTTTGGAAACACTATTCCAGCAAGAAGTCTACAGTAGTAGCACCAAACTAAACCATAAACAGAAAAAGTGATGCCTCAAGGAAATTCATCTGACCTTCTGATTTCCTCCTGCACTTGAAGAGCTCCACAAGTACATAATCCATACAGCATGGCCACATGCTCGTTACAGACCACCACACCTCTACGTGAGGAGCTAGGGGGAAATTAATTATCTAGCAAGTAGGGTTTCAGTAGGAACATAGTTGCTTTTTGTATTTAATTATTTTTAAAAGCACTTCGTTTAGCCAGAAAGCTGAATTTCCAGGGTTCTCTATTCCACAGCAATCGCCAGCACACGGGCTTTCTGGAGAAGCAGAGCTGAGGATCCCTGGCCTGCCAGGCTCATCCAGCTCCTGCTGCCGCTCAGGGACAGCCAATACAAGAAATGGTAAGAGGTTCATCTACACCGTTAGCAGGCACAACCTCCTGCAATAGTGAGTACAGGAAAATAATACAGAAAGCAAAACAAAAAAAAAAAGCATGCTGTTCTAGGAACACATTAAAGAGTTTTTAGTTCCTGTATGTTTTAAACACTTGAGCATTATCCACATTATGTCTCCTACAGAAAAAAGTAAAAAATTAAATATGGCCCTCAAGACCCCACATCTGACTTTAGAGCTACAATTATTTCACTCTGTGAGCAGAGTACTCAACGTAAATACACCAGCTGGGATCTAAACACTGCCACAGTCTAATACTTCTAAACACTGTAATCGCCAAATATACACATCAGCTACAAATACATCAGGTCAATTTGAAACTAGCTTTAAAAAAAACGTTTTGCCAGCTAGGGAAAAATGGGCTTATCTACACTCCAGATATTAAGAGACATCAAACATCCGTGCCCATTTCAACACAATATTTCTGCATGTGCTATGTCTGGAAGCCCGCAATATTCCTTTTCTCTAACTGTGAAAAGTTGTTGGAAAGTTTTATTGGGATGGAAAGTGAGGAGACAGTATTGTTTTTTATAAGTGTTCCTACTTTCCACGTAGAAGTACATAGAACAAGCAGGGGGTTTGTTCCAGCAGGTCAGAAAAGGGCTTAAAAGTACAAACATGAAAGCCAACGAGTTCTTCCTTCACTTTCATTAGTGAAACTAGCGCATCCAAATTTCCCTCAGCTGAATAAATCACATGAAAAAATGTCAAAAACTCCCCAGTTTCAATAGACAGGTGACATTTACGTATTATCAATGATGGATTCCATAGCTGTGCTAATAAAATGAAGAGAGAAAGTGATTTTACAACATCCCTGTTAGAATTTCATACTTTTCAGACACAAACAGAATGTATGAAAGTAAAAACATAAGATGTGTAAGGCCACACTTACCATCTGAAGCACTGAAGTACTCGGGGTTCACAGAAGCATAAAGCACTCCATTGCCCAGTCTGTCACTGTTCCTGTTGAAATATTTTTTTTTCTTTTTTAATGTTTAAACCTAAGTAAATTTCAGACCACCTCTTCTACAGCTTTTCCACCATTTGCTCAACCACGGAATATTATTTACTGTATGTGAAGAGCTTTTCAGACAAAGGGGACAAGCCATAGTTCTTATTCTACCTCACATAATCAATGGGAAAACAGCTCAGAACAGCTTTCCCAGGAAACCTGCAGTCTTCTCTATACCAAATCAGCACCAAAAAAGCGTAAACACAAGGTACTTTTAGCTGCTGGGTAAACTTCCTTTAAGAAAGGCAGGTGTATGGCGATACACCCAGGAGACTTGTGGCTGAGAACATACTTTAACATCTGCTCTACTGTGGGAGAGAAGTGATCTAGAAAAGGACAAGACTGATTTTAATGGGGAATTCCATTCAACTATTCTAGAAACGCTTCTGTTACTTTAAAAACACACACACAGCCCCCGCAACCCAGTTTTACTGGGGTGATTTTCAGAATAAGACATGTTTACTCAGCGCTGCGAGAGCTCTTGCGGGGGGAGGCTGTAGAAATAAAATTATCAATCAGACCTCAGAAAATCAGAGACAAAACATTCTAGTGGGCTAGAACAACAGTTTAAAGGAAGATGAGTTATCAGGCATTTTACCTAGGACAGCCCAAGGGAAGGCCAAGCAGGTACTGTACTTCACTAGCTACAAAGCCCTTTCTGGAGTGCTTGAGGAGAACTGGTACTACTGTCTGCACACAAATGAATTAGAGCTGGAAATAATAGGATACCCAATGAGTGTAATTTATAGGAGTGTAATAAAAACCCTCTGTACCTACAAAGTTGCAAGGCTGAACATTTGCAGTAACTTCTATTAAATTCTCATTATGTGTTTCAGTTGAAAAAACAGAAATAAATCACTAGTTACAAAAAACAAAACCGAGGAGGAAAACAAATCAATAAAACAGTCCCCTAGACTGCTGTGTCCAGGATGAAATTTAGTAAGTGGATATAAAGACTTCAAAAACCCTCTAAAATTTGCAAGAAATCAAATTAACCTAAATAGAACTAATTTTTCATGATTTATATTGACCCATATTTCAGTCAGATCTTCAGATTATATAGGTTCAGTGTCTGCCATCATTGTCCCAGTGGATATGTACCTCTTCCCTCTCAAACATGATACTGTAATAAAAAGCCTCTTCATATCTTAAGCAGCAGATGCTTGCTGGTAACTCTAAACCACCTCCTCTTACACACCAACAAGACAGAATCTACTTTAGCTTCTTGAGTCCTCTGAATGCCATTTCCCTTTTTAATTTCTAACTTGCTCCACAGGCACAGATTTGAAAATAAACATTCCCCTCCTGCAGTTTTAACCACAAGCATATACAACTCACCTCTTTTTGTTAAAGACGTACAGCATTATCAGTAATCCCCCAACGATGAGCAGGAAAGCAATAGGAAGCACAATTATCAAGTGCAGGAAGTTTCCATAGTTTGCTGCTGCAACCAACAAGAAAACAACTGTATCAGGGTTTCTACAAAATCTGCATTAACAAAGAAATGTTCAAAACCCACTCTGTATATTTCCATACAGGGAAGAAATCAAAGTATTCATTTTCTTGTCTGATGTGGAAAAATGTGCTCAGAAACACTCCCTGACTGCAGATGAGTGGAACAAGAAAACAGACAGTGAAAAGCATTAATTTTGTACAGAACAGCGTCTGTCTGGGGTTTGTTTTCACAAGTTATGCTTAAGGACTTACATTCCTCAGTGAACAACATGTAATTGTTCACTTGCATATTCTCCTTCTTTCTACCTTCTGTTCCCCTTGTTCACCTTGCAATTGCTTATACTTATATTCAGAATATACACACACTGCTCTTCAAGTTCTTCAAAGTCCAGCAATTAGAAAACCAAAAAGGAGTAAAAGATGGAGTTCCATTTTTGGTAGATACATCTGCTCTACAATTAAATACAGAAGTTCTTGAGAGGGTCTCTGTGGACACTACAGTGTGTTCTTCCAAAATGCAAATTACTCCCATTGTCAGGACCAGCACCACCCTTTCATCAGGATGTTATCTTTATCAAATGTCACTCAGAAGACGTCTCATGAAAAAGCATCTTGGTATTTAAAATATCCTGACAGCCAAAAATTTAAACAAATTATTTGTTTCTTGTATTATTTTTCAATATAAAGCAGGCTTGCCTTATTGCCCCACATTTTGTACAATTCAGCTCCACATTGTTATGGCTAATGATACGTTCCCAACATAGCTGTACATCACAGGAAGCCACAGTAGTGTGTTCTACACACCCACCACCTGGTTGCACCTCTCATATATATATACAATGCACACAAGAAAAGCACCACACCTCAGATACACCTCCTGGTTGTCAACACTTGCAGGAACAGAGAATAGTTCCCAAAGAAGCATCAGCAACTAAGAGGAGTGTTCAGAGTATAGCCAAAAGGGTCATACGCCCAGTTACGTACATAAACATCAAGAATTTTATTAAAAAGACAACGGTCCCCCAGTTTGGCCCTGCCAACACACATTCATCTTACATTTGGGTTGTACATAGAAAGAGACTGGCTCAGTCCATGACCCGTTTCCAGCTAACGAAGTGGCCTGAACTCTAGCAGAATAGTTTCCGGGGTTCAGATGAGTTAGTTTAGCTCCTCCAAGCTTCTTGTATTCCTGTCTGGAAACACATTCCCGCTTCTCCTAAAAGAAAGAAGCGATTTACATTTCATGTTAATGTCTTCACATTCCTTCATTCTTGAGAAAACAATATAGCTGCAGGATAAGCTGATTTTTATAACTAAAAGCCCCATCTGAGCAGTTTTTCTTCAAACACCTTAAGGAAACGTGTGGAATTCAAAAACTGACAAAATAAACAAAACAAAGGAATGGCATGCTGGTTGGTGCTGGATTTTTGAAATCACAATTTCTATCCTTGGGCTGCAGCACTGCACAGAAGCGTGTTAAGATAGATCCCATTTTGTGTCTAAGAGCTACAAGCAGTAACTGTTAACAGAGAAATGTCAAATCCTCACCTCTCCATGCTGCCCGTATTTGATTTCATACATTAGTATCAGCCCATTTGGATTTGCAGGCTCCAACCACTTCAGGTAGACAGTATTTTCTTCTTTTGCTTCCCATGCTACCGTTCCTGGAATGTTATCTGCTCCCTCTGTAAAATATTTATAAGTGATGTGAGAAGAACATCTATTACTGAAACAGGAACTTACACAACAATTGAGGAAAATAAAAGGTCCATATTATTCTTTAGGTATCAAAGCACTGCGGCAAGCACTATTCAAAGATCCAAAGAACAAAACACATTGGCCAGGGGCCTGTTGGAGAGATTAGCAGAGTCTGAACGGCTGGTTGCCAGAAAAACAGTGCAGTGTATACAGCTTCACCAGGTATAGGCTCTGTGTTAGTCACTGTGCTCTGTGTGCCAAAAAACCTGTTTATCAGCATCTAGTTCTTCCTTCCAAACTTTCCACTACACCAGAACAGTGCAGACAGCTATTCCCACCAAATGGCTGTAAGGAGCAACCTGTCAGCAAATGGCTGTAAACACACAAAAGCTGCCCCACTGACATCCCTTTCCTAGAACATCCAGTCTTAGGAAATCTGTCGCAGTTTAAAACCGAGTCTAATCAGCAGCAATTCAGGAACTGCTTTATCCCTAATTCATTCCTGATAATTGTATGTGTTTTATTCAAAACTTAATAGGAATGTGAAGACTGTTTCAGTCAAACAAAAAAGACTACTTTTCCAAAAAGACAGTTGTAGGTTTATAAGAAAACAGAATTGTTTAGCCTTTAGTTTTCAGAGTCATGTGCTAAAAATCTGAGAACACTTCATTTCCTTTTCCCTGATCCCACAGATTTCCGTATTTCCTTGAAATAAGCAATACTTTTTGCTTTTTTACTGACACAGCTGGATCCGGATTATGATAGTCTTTCCTTCCAGAAACAAAACAAAATTGCTACCGTTCAAATATTCCCAGACATCTGCTGGAGTCAGAAGCTCTTTGCTGGATGCATATGAGCTTACACTAAAATCATCTCTATTCTTCTCAGAAGAAGCACAATCTGTAAAAGTCCCAAACATGAGTACAGCATTCAACGCTTCTTATTTGAAATACTCTAGATGCCGGCGATTGGGCACAAAGCAACACAGTACTCCTCCTGTTTCCAGGCTGGACAAATGCATGGTCATTCTGTGACAGAAGAAGCATTTGGCAAACATTCCCACCAGCAAAACTCTTAACATCTGCAAACAGTTCAGAGTGAACCCAGCAAAACTAAACATTAGCAGAGAAATGTTCCCTTGTTTCCATTCAGCATACAGGGAACTGAAGAACAAAACCTTTCCACCCACCATGTTTGTAGGTCTCACCTATATCGCTGGGAAACGGATTGTCTCATAATTATCTCAGTAGTCATTGCACACACTTTTACCTTTCTCCAGATCACAGGACAGACTCAACACATATCACTCAGTACCCACAGGAGATCAGTCAAGGACATTAAACTACTGTAACAAAGTTTTATGAAGTTCCGAGTTATTTTCTTGCAAAGAATTTTTTTATTATACATCAGTGTTTTTCTAACTGTTTGTGGAGGGTTTGTCCTCCCCGAGATTGATCTCTCCCCAGAAAATAAAACAAAGCTTTGTACTTGTGAGAGCATACCTGAAGGCATGGTTCTTGCAAAGACAAAGTTGGAAGCACTACAACCAAGGGTGTCAGCTTCATGATTGCAGCTGTGAATATCGATGCGGTAAAGAGTAAAAGGCTGGAGATGGGAGATCACAGTTCTCTCCTTGCCATCCACTTTGGTCTCAAAGAACGGGTATTCCACCTCACTCTCTTCTGCATCAGAAACATTGGTGAAGTGATCTGTTCCAGTCACATTTCTGTTTCGAGTGGCCAAAGTGGCATTTGCTATTCGGAACACATCCCTCCGCTTCCGATCAGGTCTGTGGAGCAAACAGACAGGTACAGAAAAGGCCTCGTTAGAGAAAATCCACTTTTTCTCCAACTCCAGGAAAAGTGCAAAAAACCCCCATAAAATACATCACTCTGCTATTGAGAAAGCTAAATAAAGGGAACTGCAAAACAAGATGAAAGCTTGCTCTTAATCTGAACCTGCAGCATGCCAGCCATCCCATGACTCTTTTGGTCAGAAACCAATCCAAACTCTGAAGCTCACACTGTGCCCCAAGATAAACGTGCAAACTTCTGACCTCACACAATGAACCAAACAGCAAAAATAGCTTCACTGTTATTCAATAAGCATCCTAAATTTCTATTTAATGACAATAATATTGATGCTTAAGATAAAAATCAGATGTTGAAGGTTGAAAACGTTAGGGGAAAAAACTGTTTTGAAGTTTGCTTTATTAGCAAAGCTAACTCTCAGTGGGCTTAACTTGCTTTTCCGTTGCAATGAAATTACAGAACTTTGAATGTATTGCACCAAGAAAAGAAACACTGGAAGGTAGCTGAAGACCATGAATGTTAACCACCACTAATGTGTTATGATTTGTGTATCTCTACTTCTCTCACCCAAACAAAAACTCTGCAAAGGAACAATCTTCCTCTATGAGAAAACACAGTACTAATATTGTGTTTGCAAAGAGTTCATCAAGCAACTGCTTTGCCTTACAGGCATCTGTAGGAAATTCATTCAGAGCTAAAAACTTCAGGATTTACAGCAACACTACTACTTTCTCAAGTCTAAGAAACTACTGTAGGGTATAGACCGGAGTATCAATGCAAGCATCAATATGAAAAGAGTATTTTAATAAACATTTGGATGGTATTAGCTAACCAACACAGAAGTGCTACATGTTCAACTTGTCACTGGGATCCAAGATCCAAGGCCATTCTGCACAGGAGCACTAGCTACATAGGGCAAGCTTGGTTTTCCAGCTCCTGCTCTGCTAGTCTCCGAAGTTTGCAGGGCTGCTCATACCTGGAAAGCAATGCACCAGGGGAGTTAAAGAAGAATGCAAGACAAGTCACACTACAAAAACAGTTTTGGCTTGAGTCCTACGCCACCTGAAATGCCTTAGCCAGTGCCCACTTAGCACCTGGTCAGTGCAATGGTTATCAGGGACAGAGGTGAAGTCTAACCCATTTCTATCAGAGAGCGTGTAACAAACCAGGCAGATAAGGCCTCCCTTGACCACACAACAAGAGGAGAGATGACTCAACACGAGAAGTTAATTCACTGTCAAATATACCATCTTGGTACATTCAGACACAAAACAGCGTGCTGCAGAGAGCGCCAAAAAGAGACCGACTTGGTTTTGAAATCTTCTGGCAGAGGTTTGATGACTTTTTTTTTTAGGAATTCACTACAAAATTTTCCAAAATCCTTCTACTATGTCTTGAGTAGCCATTTTGACACTCTCAGATGCCAGGTAAACCACAGCACAGAAATAAACGATGAGAAGGAAAAAAAAAACTTCCCAAGTTACAAAGAAATTAAGCAACATACAAACGGATGTCTTAACTTGTCAGTGGAGTATGGGGGAATTTCATACGAGATGCAATCATTTGCTCCTCCTCTACACTGGTATTTATGGAAGTTACTAGACCTATCCATATTGCTTAGGATGAGTATTCATTTACTGCTTTAACTCGGTGGAAAGAACTAACTTTTGAACCGCTAAAAGCACACAGGATGCCGAGCACTGAACTGATGAGCATTTGCACAGATTTTGTGATAAAGCAGTGAAAATAACAAGTTGATCTGCAATGAACAGAAGCACATGCCAATGCAAGAACCTAAAAAGCACTACTTTATCGCTGCTTTTAAGAGATCCATGAAGTTTCAAGTCTTTGGTGGCATCTGGGAGGCGGGGGGGGAGCACAGTCCTGCCTTGCCTTTGGGGAGAAAGATAAATAGAAAGCAAAACAAAACTTGTTGTGAAAACTACAGTCATATCAGGAAGAGAAAAAGACCTGCAGGATAACCACAGGGCAAACATGATTAAAACATAAGAGATTTGACACTGTTGCTTTTCGGTCAAGCAGCTTCCTGCTACTGTGAAAGGCACAGATAAAGACAAAAAACAAGCATCCAAGGAAATAACAAAAAGTCAAGGGATACAAACATGAAAATTCATCTCTTCTCTTAAAGTAGAGGAAGGAAGAGAAATGCAAGAGAAAAATTTAAAACAACACTAGAAAAATCAAATCAAATTGAAATTAAAAAGAAGTGGACCATTTAACATAAAAGCTAACTGTTCTCATACTTTATGGCAATTTTAATGTTACTTCTCAGATACCTTCTACTACACACAGAGCCCACCTCATCCCGCCCATTACAGAACCAATAAACATGAAGAATAACTCATCCTCCTGTGGTTGTGAGTGTCTCTTCAAAAGACTAACCATAGTCCTAATGTTGAAATCTGCCTCACCACTGCAGTAACACTCACGGGATCATGCAGAAGTTGCAAACAAGATTACATCAACAGGCTTTTTAAATAACCTTAAAACCACCCAGTCAGATATTTTCACGCTGTATTATACGCTGCTTCTCTTTCATAATAACCTGGAGACAGGTAGGACACTGCAAACAATGCAAACCTCAATAGTACTATTAAACACATTAACTAATTTCTTCCTCGGGAAAAAGGGAAAAAAAAAAAGACAAGACATCAGCAAGTAACAAGCTGCTTAGATTTGTCGTATAGAGATGTCTCACTAGCTCAGAATCTTTAATTTTCCTGACACACAGTCTCTTTAAAGTTGCTTAGCTATGCAGCTGTTTCTGATCGTTGTACCTTATCTGCCCTTGCTGTTACAAAACACACCCTTTAAAACAGTAAGTTAAGAAAAATGGGAAATAATCAAGCTTTTAGGAAATTCTTTGTGTACTGGTCAGTTTATTTGTTACTGTCTGAGTTCAAGGTTCTATGAGCTTCCTTTAGGAGGGGTGGAATGCAAGAAAATTTGGGAGAAGATAAACAATGCATTTTAAAAGCTTTGGTGAAATAAAAAAATTCCTTTGTATTAAACTTTCAAGTAGTTTAGACCTGACACATGCCTTTCAAAACTCTTGCTGTGCTATTTCATAAAGTGCAAAATCAGATCACATTTACAAGAATATCACATTCCTCAGGAATTACATCCTGGCCAGTGATGGTGGCTGTTAACTTCTCTGTACCTCATCTTTGCTGCCAGTTCTCATCATCAGTAGGGAATTCACTGCACAAGTGCAACCACAAATGCTGAATGTGACTCAAACACAGCGCGGACACAATCCTTAGTACTTCCAAACAGAAGCAGTATTTAGCTCATCATTTTTTAGACAGAGTTAAGAAGCCCTGCACACATCACACTCCCAACCCCAAACAAGTCAATCCCTCACATCCCTGAATAAAGGCCCAAAAATCACAATGGAGAGTGAAATAAACCCGTTTTAATGAGCAAAAGCCACACTTCAGAGTTCTCAAGCACAAGATTTCACCATAAATTTCACCTGCCAACAGAGACAATGAAGTAACATGCACAATTGAAATCTGATTGCTTATAGACTGTAATATAACAGCTATACACTGTGTGCTAAGCCTCAGGATCCAATTATCTAAAGTAAAAACAGCTTACATGATGGATAAATTGGAAACTCAAGGATCAAAATCACCCATTAATTCAGTAGTATCTACTCTATGTCGCAGCATAAAATCATTACTATTCCACTTTATGTGTAAGCAGTAGTGTTTATCACGGAGTAGTGGGCATATTTAATACTTCTCTGCAGCACAGACCCAGGAAACCAATATGCCCTTTGCAATTAGTGCAGTGAGAAAGGAAGACCAGTTTCAATTCTGTGAGGTGACTATGCCCTCAATTTCAAAGACAAATAAATCTTCAAATTAGGAACACAAGCACTTAAATGGCTATTTAGAGAAAGATCACATCTGAAACCCTTTGACTGTCACATGTTGCTCATCTCTCAAACCCTTATAGACAAAGTGCTCCTCAAGTGACTCTTGACTCTGAAAAGAAACCATCACTAAAGTCCTTGGTAAAAACCCTTACTATTAGCGAAAATTGAGAGAAAGAGACGAAAATTAGTGAATAAGAGAAACTGCAAAGTAAGGCTGCAGCTTGTCTCACAAAAAGGAAAGGCAATGTTTATGAGTTTCAGGAGCTATCCACATATGCTTTCATGTCCAGGAAGCCTGAGCTCTAGGAAATGTTAAAAAACTAAATTATTAGCCTCACTTGCAAAGAGAAAGTGTCCAAAATCCATTACCTGGGGACAAAGATGGAGTTGTGAAGGAAGTTCTCGAAGACTTTCCGGTACTCTGCTTCCTCCTTCTCAGCTTGCTTTTCTGCCTCTGTCTTGGGACAAGCACAACAAGGTCCTTTTTCTCCCCCACAGCCCTCTGGCTTGGTGGGTTCAGTAGCTTCTTCTGTATCAATGGTCCCATCAGCATATCTTCGAATTGGGACTTTATCTTAATTAAAAAAAAAAAAAAAAAAGCGGCTTGTTTCTTTTCTCTCCAGATTATGAATACAGCAACAATCCATGTTTACCCATCCCCTTCTCCTCACTGTTTTTCACAAAAGAGTTGTGAAACAGGGCATAGGCTTCAGCTCTTGTAAATAAAGTGCACTGAAGTAAGAGTCGCAGGCGCTTCAACACAACCACGTTTATTTTCCTACCTTTGGAGCAGTAATTGTGTCTGTAAAGGTAACTGTCCTGAGGTTGCTGCTGCCATCGTACGATATAGTATGAGAGGTTGCCATTGGGAAGAGAGGGAGGATTCCATTTCACAATCAGTTGGGATGAGGAGTTGGATGCTGAAATAACATCCAAGGGAATGGATGGCACTGGAGGGGAAAAAAGAAGAAAAAAGAATAGGAAAGCATTTAAATCTAGAGCATTCTACAATGTATTTCAATGCAAGCTTTCGAAGTGAATCCCAATCCATTTCTATATTGCAAGAAGAAACACCATCCTATTTCAAAGAAGAGATTTCCTACTTAAGCCCCACTAACAACAGTTATTAAGGGTTCAACCGCAACCACCTACAGTCCCCATCTGAAGCTGCACTTAAATTTACCTTCACCAATGGAACAAAGTCTGAAATCCTAGCTCCAAAACACTCCCATAGTTTGCAATGAAAATAATGTCTGAAGAACTACAGAGTTTTAATTCAAATCTTAATGCTGCTTCCATAATTACTGAAGCTTTCCAGCATTATGCACATTGTCTGCACATAAATTCAATTTCTGTATTAACAGCAGAACTTGCATAATAATATAATAAGCATACCTGCAGCATTATCAATCTCTTACCCAAGAGCCCAAGATCTCACCTGCAGCGTTGGTTCGTATATATACGATTTCACTTTTTGCTCCATGAATATGATGATTTTCCATCATTGTGAGGGTAACAGCCTTGACATAAATGGCATATTGAGTCCAAGGTTTCAATCCCTGCAGTAGAATTCCAGGATTGTTCTCTTTGTTGGGTGGCAGGTCAACATCGACCATGTTCCAGCTATTGGAGCCACACGCATCTTGCCCATCATACTCTGTCACGTTTTTGAATGGTCTGAAATAAAAGAAAAAAATAGTACAAAATATTTATTTTATCCTAAAAATGATCATGTAAGAGTGCCTCACTTCAATGTTGCTCAATGAAACAAATAAAGCTTACTGGTTTTCCATAGCAGAATAAAACAGAATAGAATTGGTATTTATTTCCAAGCACTACAAAATTCAGAGTTGAGCTTCGGCTGCAGGTCTTACCTTCAGTCACTAGCAATAAGGCAAGGTTCTCCAAGAAAACACTAAATTTTTTTTTTTTTTAAATCCAGACCTGACAGTGAAATGCTTCAGATATATTTAGACTTTAGCTAAGCATATATGTAATGCAGCAACTCAGAACAGTTGTTGGTAGTGGCTGAGCTTTTTACCATGAAGAACCTAAGCTTCTGTGACTGGCCTTGACCAGTCCAACAGGCTTTTTTCACCCCTTTTATTTCCACACAATACAAACACACTTATATAGTCATATAGTTCTACTTTTCATAGGTTGCAACACTGACACAAGAGCATATAGAGTACTATTCTTGTTATTCATTACTATAGACTCTTCAGGACTAAATTTATTGCATCATAGGACACTGTGACAGTGATGCTGGATATTAACAGTTTGTGCTTCTGTGTCTCACAGCCTTGCTCCGTACATCATCACCAGCATTCTGAATCTCCCTGTCATACTTCCAAGCTACTTGTAGAGTTATTGGTGTGTTCATTTGCATTTTTTACTATTTTAAATCTGAGACACAACAAGGATGTGCAGTGGCAGAGACACCTCCCAAGAAATTAGGTTCTCTCCAGCAACTGCCCCACTCCTTGATTACCAAGAGATATTAATGCAGAAAACTATCAAAGCCAGATAATCTAAATAACCCCAAACCCTGAGCAGACAAGTCAGCAAGGTGACAGGGCAAACTCCTGACCTGTGATGTTCTCTAGTCAATACTATGACTAGAGAAGGAAAAGATCTCGGCAAACATGACATGACTTACGAAAAACTCCAAATTAGACCTCTGAGAACATCCAAGCCATCCATCTTTTTTTTTTGTTTTTTTTTTTAAATTTGAAACTTCATGATGGATTTGGAATCCATTTGGAGGTTTCAATCAAAACAATCCTCTTTTTACATAGGGCTTGTGCTCCACCATGAAAAGAATCTGAACAAAAGCAGGACTTGAGGATGAAATACATAAACTGGATGAGATATGTAAACTGCATGAAATAGGAACTACCCAAAGGACTTTGCTGACTAACTTGGCTCGCTAGTAAACCAAAAATCAGAATAGAATTGTCTATGATCTCTTGGACTGTCCCAATTAGTCTCTGACGACATCTACTTACGCTTCTTTGTAGTAAACAGTGAAGCTAATGAGATCTCTATAATCTGGAGGGCGATACCGTTCCCATGTTAGTTTAATCCGATTCTTGAGCGTAGTGTTGGAAACAAAATGCAAAATGTGGCTTTCACCTGCAATACAAAAAGACAAGACATGACAAGAGTTAGCACCACATCGTCTGTTACTTTTTGCTGTTTCTTAGGTATCCGTTTTAGCTCACTGGCCTTTCCAGTAGTGCCTGTGATACCACAGTATACCAACAGCCTTTGTCTGTGTAGAGCTTCCTATTTCATCCTACTACATTTGAGTGCTCAAGAGTAAGCAGTGATCTTGGCAATCATTTTAGAGTATGTTGGAGCTACTTGTTATGATTTTTTCTGAAGCAGATTTTCTTTTAATGCATCATCAGAAAGCTCTTTAAAACTACTTCAGACTCTCCCTGAGCGAGGAATGGAAGTCCTGTTTATTCACCGGACTGGTTTAGAAGCACTAAATTCATCATCCAACTCCAATGCACGTGGTAAAGCAGTAACCGGCCTCTGCGTTCTCGCCTTCCAGGACAACTTTCGACAATTTGTTTTTCTGAGGAATGGACAACATGGAAAGGACAGAGTATTTTACATTCCTATTCATGAGAGGCTGGACCAAGAACTCCAAAACTCAGTTCATATACTGCACAACCATTTGATGGCAGCAGCTTCCAGCTACTCTTCTGAACAGAGCTGGATGGAAGCCGGCAGCTTTGAAATGAATGGCTTCCCACTACCAACTCACTGAGCTTTCCAATCCAAAACAAAATAACATTTTAAAAACTTAATTCTTGGGTGAAGAAATTGTGTTCTGTCAACTGTGAGTTAAGTTTCTAATGTTCCATCGAAGCCTCTGAAAATAAAGAGGTTTTCACCCTCATGTACACTGGCACTATTAGTGCTATCTTTTCAAAGGCAGTTTAGCTTTTGTTGATTCTTTTCCCCTTCTCAGAGTCAGAAAGCTTTCTGTAATGGTTTTTAAAAAAAACAGGCAGCGGCTGGCACTAGCCTCAGTGGTAGTAAGGTCTGGCTGTGTGTCTGTAACTCCTCCAGGACTGCAAGCCTTTGCTCTATTGAATGTGCAAAGAATGGAGTGTGCTCACAACAAGGATCTATGCCATCTGCATTTATGCATCATGCCTAAAGAGACATTCAGCAGAGTATGTGTCCTAGTTTTGTAAACACCATCCAGAACAAGGGGACTTGACTTATACACAAGATCCATTTTAATCTACTCAGCTCCAAGAACACCACAAATAGACCAAAGAAAAATGCATTGTCAATTCTAAGAGTTTGAGTATGAGGTAAAATTTGTAAGCATTCTGTCATCTTGATTCCTAGATGAGAGATTGCTTTTAAATGTGTTGGTTACACCTGGGGACCTGATATGCTTGAAGCCAAACTGAAGAGGACTGAAGCCTGAAGCCAAAAAGAGGACTTTCCAATAACTTTGACCATTACAGAATCCAAAATTACATGCAGAGGCACTGAAGTTTAGGAATACTGTAGAACACTAAAAAGTGTTCTCAATTCAAAAGCAAATAATTTGAAAATAAAGCACAGAAAACTGAGTTTACAACATGCATTTGTAGCAACAAGGTACAATATTCGGCAGGAACAGAAAAGAAGCTTGAACACAACAGAAACAGTTTGTTCCGGTGCCTATGGAATTGTTATTCAGCTGACTCCTTAATATCAAGAAAGAGTAGATATCCAAGAGAGGAAAATACCTACAATGATGTACATTTGCAAAGGAAACAGAGAAACTGCTCCTCGTTGGATATACCAAACCAATAGATTTTATTTCTCATTTCCCAGGTATGTTCCTATTGTTATGTGATGCTACTGTCACAAAAAAGGGTATTTGGAAAGCAGTCATCTTCATCAAATGGTTTTTACAGATGAGATAGCGACTATGTAACCACATAATTTTCCAGGCATGCGAACATACTTTCACAACTATACTTTAAAAACTGAACAGCTAGAACAACTGAAAGCCTACTGTAATTTCTAAACTCTAAATATTGTAATGGTCAGCAATGTGGCAGTGTGTTGGCATTTTTTTTTTTTGTGACACTGTCCTATGCAGTTTGCTTCGAGAATTATTTTCTGTTTGTTTACTTACAAGAGGCTCTCTCCCCATTGTTCCTTGGATTTATGTCTCCTTTGCTCTGTCGTCCCTTGGTTCCTGAAACTTCCTCCATACGGTAAATCTCAGAAACACACAGTTTAGGATTAAAGGCAAAGTACATTTTCCCCTCCTTGATTGTCAAGTTGTGATGGTTCCAGTCCCATAGCTGCTGAAGATTGTGGTTGTCAAGAACATAGAAGGAATAATTCCTACAAGGATATTTTTGAAGGAAAAGTATTAGTGCAATTAATTCATAGCCAATTCCAACCAAGAATATCTTAATATAAGAAAACTTTAAAACACTAGGTTTCCTCTTATTACTTTAAATTAGTGTTCCACAGAGTAAATGATTGTCTTCTCTCCCACAGAGCAAGATTTCCCTGAACGCTCACGCTTTGGTCAGAGGGCAGGGAAATGACTAACACAGGATTCCAAGGCTGACACCACACCATGTAAAGCCCACTGCAACATGTGTTTTAGTAATTGTATAGAAGCTCTTATGAGGAATATAAATTCATGTCCTCTGAACAGCAGGTCTCTACACTGGATTTTCCATTTTGTGGCAACGGGGAAGCAATAACGCTACATACCTTATGGGAGGAAACGCATGGTGCAGTTCTGACAATAAAATACAATCGTGAACACAGCTGTCTTGCTTACGTTTACAAAAGCAACTGTAAGAGTTTGCATAGTGAGGTTTCCTTGCTTCTCTGTCTTAGTTTACCTCTTGGCCCAATAAAGATTTCCTACACTGTGCCAAGTACAGTTGCGCCTATACATCAAAACCTGACAGTAAACAGTTGCACTGACTGCACAGCACAGGATCCACACTTCAAAGCAGAGAACTAACAGCACAGGCAGCGGCATGTGCTGAGCCCATTCCCTAAGCACAGCAGTGGAACAACACGAACATCCTTTATTTCCACAGATATTAAATACACAGTTGTGTGTGTAAATCCTATTATATATTAAAAAGAAATTTCCCGTGCCACTTGATTGTGCTGAATTGGGGGAAATAAAAAAAAAACCAACACATGCAGCAGAAGCAAGATCATAGGCTCTACATCAGCAGCAAGACAATACCCACAAAGACACATTTTGGGATACAAGGGACAGGAATGCACAACTGGGAAATGAGTTCAAGGTCTGCGTAGCTGATGGACCTAAACCAAACCAACCCACCATGGCAGCATTTATTATACTTCTGTGGAAAGTCCCACCAACCTTAACTATATCAACACAAAATACATTAGTAACACAATGAAGCCTTGCAACCTCTGCAAGCCATTTGCATTAGCAAGCCCACGTCAACGTAGTTAAACTAGGCTTTCTACAAGTCCTCTTCACTACAGTCAGAGCTTCTGCAGGGTAACACAGCAGACAAACCAGGAGGCTCGTAAGAAGCTAACATACTACTTTATGGTTTTCCTTCAACTACTTCATTTGAAATTAATTTCTCCCTCACCCAACCGGAAGTGAAAACCATGCATCGTGGTTGCAACCTGCGCAGACCACAGTTGTGGTTTCTTGTAACATACCAAAATGCTGAGTGTATTGTCAGAGCAATGTGGAAGAGAAGCAATTTCTCCTATTTCCAACTAGTTTTCCCTAGTTATCCAGGACTTGATTGCTAATGAAGTCAATATATCTGGTACCACTTCAGAGGGATGCCAAGAAGAATGTGCTCAGTTGACAAGGGAGCACATACATGTTAGTTATTTAAATGCATCTTGCCAGGAGAGAACAAGGATGCTAAACTGCATGTGGGATTTGACAGACATCACCAAAACCTGTATTTATCTCAGACACCTGTTACAGATTACTAAAATCCCTGCAGCTCCCTGTGCACCGCTGAAAAGATGACACTCCACCATAATTAACCACGTGATTAAGTGATGGCTACTAAGCTTTTCAGGAAAGACCCAAAAAGCTGTACTCAGATTGAACAGAATAAACAGAGGTATAGCACCGCGACTACAGAAACGATCTTAAATATTTAGTAACAGCCTAGCCTGTCTCCTGCTCACAACTGTGGCAATTATGCTTTAGACACTACAGATAATTATTGTATTAAAGCAATGTGGCTAAACTTTCAAGAGGGTGAACGAGGCAAATCAAGCACACACTGGTGGCTTTACACAACTGCACAGCAACTGGGCCAGAGTTGGGAGTTACTGTGGCTCACCCAAAGCCGTCTGCACGAGTTTGAGCAGCCACCTGAGGCAAGGCAAACAGGTCCTAAGGGTTCATATATACACTGAAAATATAAATCAGCGGAAGTTATTCTAGCACCGTTCAAAGCACTGGAGAAACCACATTTGGAGGGCTATATACGGTTTCAGTCAGAGCAGAGATGCAGTGCTGCATGGCTTGAAAGGTGGAGCAGAGGGCAACCAGAGTGCACGTAGGGCTTAGGTTATAAATAAAGATTATATCAGACTTTGGCTCTAACAGCTGTGCAAAAAAATCAGGACACCAAGGAAGATAGAATGGAAAGAATAAAAGATTCACTGTAGGAAAACAAAGCACTGCCTGGAGACAGTAACTAAGGGTATGACTGGAGATTATGGCCTGAAGGACAGGCTAAAGCTCTGAACAGAAGTAGGAGGCACATCTGGTCCCAGGCTTGCCATAAAAAGCCTCAAGGCAACCTGCATAAAGCCATGAACACCCACAGGAGAGAATTCCCACAACATGATGTGTATCCCCAACTGCAGTGCACACACAGCCACTTAATTATTGACTACATACATTAAAAACCTGCTTCACACTGTATCTGCATGCAATGCTACATCTGTGCACTTTCACCCGTCGTAAAGCTGTGAGGCAGAACATGAGATCCAACCAAAAGGAGGTTGGGGTAATGAAAACATCTCAACAAGGTTTCCATCACCCTTTATCCCCCTCCATATTGTACAGGACACAGAAAGGGGTAATTGCCTGGTAAGTACACTGTTATTAAGAGAGCAATGCATAATCCATAAAGGCAAGTGACTTGGACCAAAAAGGGAATGAGAACTGGCAGGGGACTGTGAATGACAGCGGGGGATGAGCTGGCTACAGAAGACCAGACAGCAAGAGGTTTATGGCAGACTGACTACCCTGGGACAAGACGAGCAACCCTGCAGGATTTACAGAATAGAAGACGTTCATCTCTCGGTGCTACAATGACAAGACCAGATAACTGGGACATCAACCACTAAGAGGCAGGAGAAAAGGAAAACCCTTATTGCTTTACGTATGCAAAACATGCCACATGTTGGCTAGAAACCATCTATTAACATGGTGTATGTTCTACACCTGTATCAAAGTGTGACCCTGATCCCTGATGAGGGCCTGACAACAACCGAGTCAAACACATATAGCACACCACGACAACAAAGAACAATACAGAGGACAATACTGACAAAAACGCTCCATTTGATGGTCTTTCTTTGAATGGGTTCATTCTTCAGCATTTCTCTACAAGCCTGAAACTTTATCAAATTACCAAAACATTGCTAATGTTTTAATAATGCTGGTATATTCTTTTGCTTGTGTTTGCCCACCAGCAGTTCAAACAGAACCACTGAGGTGATTAACAGAATATCTGTCTCTAATAGATACTTACACACACCTTGCTAACATAAATTGTAATCAACTTAGAAACAGTTGATTTTGGCCAAGGATTGCATCTCCACAGGCAAATTCGTGGGGAGGAAACTAGGGGCTTTTACACTAACCCATGGATTTGGAAGCAAAGCATTTTAGTAAAGTTCAGTGTTTTCTTGTCCAGTTCGAAAAGGTAACCTGACGAGCTTCTTAAACCCGCACACAAGCCCAGCCTCACACCTCAGTGTACAAGCTCCCCAACTCACTTTTTGAAACTTCACTTACACACGGATGGCTGAGAAACAGTGTCTTTACAGAATCCCCTTAAACAAAAACAAAGCCGAGGAGCATTCCCCCATGGGAGCCTGCCACTGCAGACATGCTCACCACCCGTGTTTACCACCAGCCCGGAGGGCGTTATTCATTCCTAAAACACTCTCATACGCATGGTGACTTCTTTGTTGAAATGCTGTGGCTATTACAAGCCTTGCTGCTATCGTGCTGACTGTCTGAATGCACCATCATCTGACAATAATGATCCCAGGAAAACAAATGTAAAGTCTTCAGCGAGGAGCCGTATGACAGGTAGAGATCCTGTTCACCCCTTCCGACATGCCTGACAGCTACCGATGCCTCCGCTTCAAAATGATGTAGAGAACGGGGTGGGGGTTCGCTTTTGTAGAGACTGTCCCCAGTTTGCTGCAGGAGTTGAAACACAACATCAGCAGCTGGTTGGTGCCACAACAGCAACTATTCCTCAGTCATCATCTCCTCACTTGCTCCTGAAGACCACAAATTGCTCATTTTCCAGGTACCTAACATGGAGATGCTTTGAGAAGTGCTGTCCATGTGCCATCCATCAACACAGCAGCTGCAGTCGATGACAGCAACGGACAGGCAGCACTCCGGCAGAGGACAGAGGGCCCTGGCAGAGGGAACGCTCAACTAGGCATCAAAATCCTGCAGCAGACACAGAGACCTCTCCAGCACATCTCCATTTCAGTTTCCCCATTTGCAAAAACAGTTTTCTTTTCTTGCCATGGCAGCACGTTCACTACAGACGTGGTGTTCAAAAGAAGCAATGAATACTCTGAAAACAAAGTCAATTCCATCTAAACTTTCCATTTTCTGTGACAACCAAGCCAGGTACCAGCAACTGAATAAGGAAGAAAGAAATACTGAAGTACTGTTTTGTTAGTCCGGTTCAATAAGAAAAAACGGACGGTGGTGGTGGGGTCAGTTGTGTAATGAACAACTATCATAAGGGTTCTTAAGTTAAGCTCCCTCTCGCCCCCCAAGGCAACGCTGGCATAAACGGCTATCGTTCCAGTAGCCCAGTACTTCCCAGGTTAAGGCCCCACTCCCCGTTGTTCATAACTCTGCCGAAGTAATTGTTCAAGCTCAGTTCTTCCTTGACAGGTGCCTACTTCCATCTAAGTATTTTTGGAAATGTCATTTAGACTGTGGTAATGCCTAAATTATGCTAGGCGTTTTCCAAGCAAAGAGACTGCCCCTGACCCCAAGTATGCAACTGCTGTGATTTCCTAGCATGGGTGAATTTTAGCACAAGTACCTCTTAGCTATATAGATCTGTTTTACCTCTCCCACTCAGCCCCATTTTCCTCTTCAAAGCTGCACCTATTCACTTCTCTATTTGGGAATCTGATTTAACAACCTGCCATTTTCCTTCGTATCAGCTCTGCTTGCTTACATACAAGGTACCATAAACATAATTACTACTTGAAACACAAAGTTAAACTCAAATTTGAAGAGAGCAAGGTAGAGAAGGGGAGAGAAGAAAAGACAAATCGATAATTGGAGTATCTGTGAGAGCACACCACATCATAAGTGGGCTGAATGAGCCTTGTGCTCAGCAAAGTGACAAGCCTCTAGGATTTGCAATTAGAAACATGCTTTTCCGCAGAGCCAGTGTTCCTACTGAAAAAGACAGTGTGCTTTCAAGTGTGGGATGAAGAGCTGCCCTTTAACTTGCTCTGTCAGATGGTGGAATTTTAAGAATTTAAGGCTGACCAAAGACTAGCCTGAGAGAAAGAGGGAGGTTGTGAAGAATCCCTCATGCAGTAACTTTATCCTGTCGGGGCAGATAAATCAGACACAAGCAACCTTTCCCATGACCCTCCTACCACCTTTTCTTATATGATTTCCCAAAATTATTTGTTACTGAGGGAGACTTATTTCTCCCAGAGAACACTGGTTTAAACTTGAGATGACTACATGATTCAGAAGGAGAAAGAGCAAGGCCATTTGCTGAAGGACCATCACCACACCTCAGCACTGCGAGTTCTGCAGAGATAAAAACTTTTTTCTCGACTATCTCTTACCATCATAGGAAAAGTGGAGTTATACAGAGCAAAAAGGATCACTCATTGTGTAATTATAGAAGCAATATAACCCACAGCAAACATTTCAAGGGATCAGCTTCACTTTTCCTGCTCCATGGGTCATTCATTTAATGTTAGCATTGCAAGGAGTTGCAAACAATTGCAGCTTGCAATCTATTTCATACTAGCTGGGTCACTTCTAGTTGCATTCCCCAGGCTTCCTTTCAGCTGACATTCTCCATAAAACTCTGCTAAAAGCCAACAGTAAAGAATTGCAAGGAAATCCAACCGTTTCTGAAGACGCTCTTTTCTCAAATAGAGCAAAAAGAACAAAGACACTTTATCAATGTAAAGAATCTTCCTAGAAAAACCTAAGTGAAAAGAAGCAAAGTTACCATAAAAATACGTTCAATATACTCAATTTAATATGCTGATTTAGATAGCAATCCAAATGAGTGATGACTGTGCAATGGTGTTCATTAGGAGAAAAATGCTGCGTATTAGTGGAAGACACAGTTCTATAAATGGTACGTGATTTTTTATTAGGAGACCTATTCTCTGCCACTTTCTATTGAAGTGAAATTGCATCTACAAGTATCTGAACACTTACCCATCCACCTGTTCCTCTCCCAGAATATACCGCAGGTTCTTCAAGAAAGACAGGGAGACTAATGCATGGGAATGACGAATCTTCACATACCCTGTTACTGTTTCAATCAGACCCATAAAATTCTCCAGTTCTGAGGCGATGTTATCTATGGTAAGAAAAATGTAATTTTATTATTGCAGAATTCATAGCTTTAACTGCTGTATCTGCTTAATGCAGTATTAGCTCAGGAAAAGAAAATGTTTGTATTTGTTGCTTTTGAAAACAAGAGACACTGGTATTCCTCCGCCAGTAACAGTTGCCTGTGTGGGCAGATGGTTGAAGGGCAAAATAAAGCCACAGAGCAACAGTGGAAAACCAGTCTTCCTTTTCCATGCTGGTATACCTACTTTTTCCATGGACACTGCACTCTGAAGCCAGAACCAAATGCTGAGCCAGCATTCTGGCAGGGATGAAAAGACCCTTGTGTAAATGTACGCATCCATGAGACTGGAATTGCTCTTCAGCTACAGAGCAAAGCTCACGCAGAAAGCTCCATTAGAAAACAAAGAATGAGACTGAAGATGAAGAGGTGGAGGTATGCTATTAGTCTTCTCTGGGGCATAAAGCATTGCTTTCAGTGGCCTAAAAAAGCTTTGGCTACAAAACTGAGAACTCTTGATGAAAGGGCAAAGAGAAAACCATAAGGATGGCCTCATGCCATGCAGCGTGTTCCATATAGCTTGCTAAAGCTTATTTTCTATAATAAATTATTAAAACAACTGCAGAGCAAACTCTTCTCTTCAATACTGCCACCTCCCTAGGAACTGTACCATCCCTGCCTAGGTCTGCAACACCCCATCCTTCACAAGGCTCAAGCTTTGCTGTCCTTCCCTCCAGCAATCCCTAGCCCATGCCCATTGCCTGGTGTCATTATCCTGCAAACTTACACTGCAGTTATGAGGGGAAGTTTTCAAGCACTCAGGATGCGAGAAGCTGCTACGGGGTATGTTTGCTGCCATAAACAAACCGAAGTCCTAACAGATGGCTGGGAAGCCCTACTACCGAGTCTCAGTGGTTGGCTCCCATACCAAATAAGCTGGGAGGATGCAGAGGCTCTTCAGCACTCTAAGATAATACTTAAAAAAATAAAAAAACCCTCACTTGCCCCAGGTAACTGGAACATCTCCCAGAAGGGAAGATTGTACCTGTAGCAGTGGGACCACGACTTAAATAATCCAAATGCTGCTGTTTCTAAGCCCTGAAGTTTTCATTCAGCAGGAGGAAGGAAATCAAGTATCTCTCAATCTTTCAAGCTTATTCATGAAACCAAAAGGGACCTTCCATAGGGAGCTACATTTCCAATAAAAACTAACAGTGATTTTTACTGTGCTTTTAAGAGCTCATCAACTGTCAACACTTCCCTGGCTGATGAATCACTGCTCTGACAAATTTCATCCAGAGCTTGTTCAAGACATGCAACAAAGGTGGCCAGCTCACTAATGATGACCATCCAGAGGCACAGTGCTAGGCTTTATATGAGCTCTCAGCACTCTGGATTCCATGTTTTAGCAAGACACCACACCTTGCCTTAATAAGTGAGGATATGCAATCTTACAGTGCCAAGCCTTACTTGCAGACAAGTTATTTACCTAGCTACATGCAAGGATTTTTGACTTTTCCACCTTCTTGGGCCTTTATTATTCCTTTGGGACTACTGTTCATCTCACTGCCTAATCCTGGTTCCCTGTCCTGCCAATAAAGCTAACAAAAATACCAGCTTTCACTGCCTTCTAACTTGGTAGCTGAATAGCTATTCCATCCACATGTTGGAGAATGGGTGCCACAGTGGGCCAAATCAAACAGCAGCACTGCTATGGGACTGGTAAGCAAACAGTTTGCTGAGTTTTTAAATGTCCTTATCGTTATGCTGACAGACAAAAGGAAAAATATTAAAAGCAGCTTTATCAGAGGTTCATAAAGAGAGGGCAACCACTTACTTCCACGACGGATGTTAATCAGCAGATTTCCCTTGAGAATTGTGCATCCCTGCAACATTTGTGCTGACGTGACAGAGTCAATGGTCTTTGTTTTCCCATCCTCACAAATTTTGGGGCAAGGCCCCTCACAAGGACTGCAGAACATGCTGTTAGGAAAGAAAGGGAGACTGAAAACAAGCAACGATACACAACTCAGAATCTGAAGACAAATCCTTCAAGCTAGAGAGCTGCAGCTAACTTGGCACACTTGCCCGCTGGACTCCAGAGAGGCTGGACTATTGTACCTCCCACTCACAGCAACACGAGAGTGAATGAATGGACCCATACCTGCTGTCTGCCAGCTTCTGAAAGGCTTTGTGGTCCTTCCAAAGTCGAAGGCACTTCAGGTAAAACCCAGTGCCCTTGCATTTGTGCATTTACTCTAACTTAATTATACCAAGAAAGACCACCCTTCTTATTTATGCCGACAGCCTCGGAGTACTGTGAAGTTTCACGCTAATCCAGGCCCAACCTGCAAAAACAGGCCAGCCAGGAACTGGAAATAGGAAAATACTGTTCAAGTTCTTATGAAGTTGCCTGTCTCCATGCCCTTAGACTAACATTTGAAGCTCAGGACCAGGGAATTCCATGCTCCCGGCCATTTTAACTCAGGAAAGACAACTGTGGGAGCATACAGTCATGAATGACATGGAGAAAGGGAGCAGGGAATTAGTCACTACTTCTTATAGCTTAAGAGGTACTAAAGCACCAACTTTGAGCAAACAGAAGGATGCATCTTGATGCAAGGAAAAAGTAATTTGCAACAGGAACTGGGAGAGACAGGCCAGAAGTCTAAGCGGGTTCAAAATGCATTACACAGATGGAAAGGGAACAAGTCCACCAGTGACTATAAAACACCAAGACAGACACAGCCCCGAACTCAGAGAAATCCGATTGCCAGAAGCTGGGAGGAAACACTGAAGCATAGGCTCACCTCTCCTCCTTCTTGCGCTCACAAGCATTCCTAAGTGGTTTTTAGTGGCCAAACTCAAGGAACAAGAACTCAGGCCAGCCTGGCCTTTGGCTACAGCAGCTTTTTAAAGGCTCCATGTTATACTGTCTGTATATTCATCTCAAAATTGAACTTCATGTGTGCACAAAACATGCCTTCTGATCACTTCTCCTGGTAAATGTCTTTCCCAATTCAAGGTCATTTTTATTTTTGCATTTATTCCAGCACTTTCCTTCATATTTAATTATTACTTACTCCATCTTATCACTTTAGAGGGGAGAAATGAAAAAGATAACAACAAATCCAGCCTGTAAGACAAAGGCTTCTTAAGACAACACTGATGCACATGGACTTACCATTTATCCTTTTTAAAAGAAATGGAACCCACTTTCTTCTGAGGCTTAAAGAAACACGTAAATTGATAATAACAGCTTTTCATGCATAAACGATAAAAGAAAGAAGCTTCCTTTTCTTAGTAGTAAGCTCCTATTTCAACAGCCTGCACTGTAACATGCCACAAACTGCTAAAAGCCGCAGACACAAGCAAGAGGCATTCAACAAAACGTACAGAGAATGCTGGAAATCCTTTCCATTTGCAACTATTTTTTTAACACCATCTCTGGGGAGCAAAACATTCACTAGCCTTGAGTTACAGCTCCTTTCAATCTTTGCAGCAGAGCACAACACAGAGATAAGATAGGATGGCCATGCACTTCAGTGTAAGTGGTTCAAACAGCTGGTACTACAAGCTCAAGTAGATAACAAAAGAAACATTTCTCAGGTGAGTATCTGGATTCGAGCAAAGGCAGTGTTAAGTTGGTTACATCCAAATGCCAACCAGAGACTGTCTTATTATTTGATTGAAGACAGGCATGCAGACACACAACTGGTACAGGTATCATCACAACCACCTTTCCAAAAAACTCAACATCCTACAACGACATCTTTTTAGCATAGTACTGAAGCACTACAAAATTTTAGCACCCTGACTGTCCTTTACTCAAAGTCTGTGACTTCCAAGGGTCAGTAGGCAACTAAGACTGCTTGCTTAAACCACTGGAAAAATAAGAAAATCATAAGCATGCATCACTCCAACTGTCAGAATTAAGTAACAGCAGGTGAGCGATATTTTTGCATGAAATTATTCTGTGTAATATCGTCAGCTGCTGCGTTATTTTTATCACCATCTACATGATTGCTCCCTTCTAAAACATCATGGTTATCTTCTGGAAACAGTGAAAAAAGGGAAATAAAATTAAATACACTAAAGAATACATGTGTCTAAAATGCAAGCACACATAAAGCAAATAATACGCAAAGCAAGATAACTCCTACGGTTTGTTCTGTGTGATAGTGGTCATCAGCCAAGCTCCAACCTTGTGTTCCTGGACTTTCTCTTTCATTTTGTTATTGCCTACTTGGAAGACCTGGTTCTGCATTGTAGTGACTTCCTCAAGTCCTTCAGAGCATCAGTGTCAAGTGACAACGCACAAGACCACACACAATCAGACCTTTCAATGGTGAATTCATCTAAGCAAGCCTTTACCAGGAAGTCATGCAACTCCCCTTCGTACATTCTTATTTCTATCTAATGTAATTTGCATCACAGCTGCCACAGAATAGAGGGTGGAAAACTCAAACACGGCAACTCCGATGGACTTTCCACAAGCTGCATTACCTTTGGCTCCCGTTGCGTATGAATCCAGAGGGGCATTCTGCCATGCACTCATCGTTGTGAATCACAAACCTCTCATATTCACTTGTTTCGGTGGCAGGGACTTTGGAGCAAAACTCTTTAGTCACGCAGCGCCAGCCCTCGAACTTGTAGGTGTTGGGAGGGCAGGTGGGCATGCAGACTCCTTCGTAGTAGTAATTGCGGCAGGCCACGCAAGCGGTGTTGTTGTCAGGTGCTGTACAGCTACCCAAGCATTCAGGATGGCAACACTCATTTTGGTCTGTACAGGCTCGCTTGCCACACGAGCTGGGGCACACTGCAAGACAAAAAGCAAGGTAGCATGAACAAGAGCTATTAAATAAAGTGAATGGCATTAAAGGAAAAACCTTGATCCATACAACTCGATGCTTTCATTCCCTGGGATCTAGAGTACCTCAGCAAAAGAACGAACTCCTGTAAAACTGACAAATTAAATTCTGTTCTTCTGTTTTAGTTGCCTGGAAATGTCTTCTTCTCAGATCAAATTTATAACATGAGCCAATAAAATAATAAGGAAAACTGCTGAAAGCAAGATCAGCATAAGGATAATGGAAACAGGCAAGTACTGGAACCTACTCCATAGCCCTAGTATTATGGTTAGTTTGTTGGGTTTTTTTTAAGTGCTGACTTATTGTCTTTCTAAGCATTTCTTGTCTTTCCTATTTGTACTTCAAATTGGTCTTTTACTGGCAAGAAAACAAGCTTCCTTTAAACAACTTAATTACACTTGTACAACAAAGCACTGCTATACTGTAGCACACATGGTTAGGTTGACCCCAGTGTAGCATCCCAATGATGCTTATGTATGCAAAATGAGGTCTAATAAAGTACAGATGGTACACATCAAATACTGTGGCACCATGGAGCTACTATTTCCCCCTGAAGAGCGTAACAGAATTCTGCCTTATCCCCAAATTCTGGGTTCAGAGAACAAAATATGAAAGGGAGAAAAAAAATGGGGTGCAAATTTATGGAGACATTCATTTTTACATGACAGCATTTCAGCTCGGAAGACACAAAGAAAGAGCAGAATTGTCTGCAGACAAGCTCACCACTGTTAGATCAAAAGAAGTGGCAGCATTATATTTATGTAACAACAACATTTTGATTACAGCGTTGTATGGCCTTTTAGCCATGCGAGTTGTGTGCCAGAGGCTCTGTAAACAAACGCAGATAGGAAATCTGGTTTGCATTAAGTAACTGTTTTCCACTTTCTAACTTAGCTAAAACACAGTACCAATAATAACAGCATAAAACAAAATTTCAGTAGTACAACTACAGCGAGATCCAAGCAAAGCACCACAAGATATTTAAACTGAGCGAGTTGAGCAAAAAGCATACAACCGGCAAAGAAGTTAATGTCCCTAAATGAACATGGAAGCAGCAGAGCCCAGCCTGTAGAGAAAGACAATGTTTATGAAACGGTTCCACAAAAAGTTCCACATTGCAATTTGTCTTTCAGTTTGCAGCTACAGTGTTGTTTTTGTGCAGGACTGAACACCCTAAAGTCTTGACCCCTCATCTTCCCATAACAAGGTCTAGGCTTTCCAGTACGTTTTTACAATGCTGAGCAGTGCACCACAATCATGACACAGGACCAAAAGCACAACAGGGCTATTAACCAGTAATTAAAAAAAAAAAAAGAAAAAGAAAAAAAGAAATACTGTTCATAGCTCTGCATCAGGATCTAGACAGCTTATGTCAAGTTTTGGTTACAAGAAGCCATTTTCTGCCAGCTTTAAGGTAGCATCCAGCTTAAAAAGGGCTTGCAATGCTGCCATCAGAGAACTTTGCATTTCTTATCAAAATGGTTCTATATTGATCTTGCTTAATTTTATTAACTTTTTTTTTTTAAGCCCTGAAAACTTGGCAAGTTTAAGCATTTGGGTTCAAAGCTGGGCTCTCCTCATACAATTAAGGCTAAGAAAAGTTTTGTGGAGTTAATTCCACCTGCAGGTACTTCCCAAGCAACCTGACAGCCTTCGCAGTATCTCTCCTGTATTAGCAGGCAGACCTGCTTACAGCATCTGACAGTGCTATTAGTGGCACGTATGTAGCCACGTGCCACCAACACAAGAAGCTGGCATTAAAGACAGCTCAGATAGTCCGAGCTGAATGCAGGTGTACTGCACGGGAAGGTACTGTTCAGGTGCCCAAGAGCTCGTCTGCTCTTCCAGTTAAGACAAGAGACGCTACTTCACACTGCAGCCCTTTCCTTGCCCATATCACTATTCTAACCCAACAGCGGTGCTGGTACCACCACTGCTCCATACCTGTACGCTCATTTTTTTCAGAGTGAAAGGAGGCAGAGAAGTAGAAGGGGGGGGTGGAGGGGGCAGACCATGAGAACAGGGAGATGGGAGGATGAGGACGGCCGATGCCTGCCCAAGGAGCACAAATATCACATGCAGGCCAAGTTAAGAAAATTTTTGTAGAGCCAATTACTTTTAAGACCACTGAGAGCAGGAATACAGAGGAAATCACTGCTAAATAATGCATCGTATAAAGATGCCGTTTGGGTTTTTTTTCTTGAAAAGGGAAAAAACCGTACACACCAAACCCTTACACAAAAATAAGTACATAGGTGCATTTTTTGTTGTCGTTGTTGGTAACCCGCAAGGAGTAAATTCTGCCCAGACACCACATTAGTAAGGCATCATAAATGGCCTCTCGCCTTAAGGTATACAGTACTACTTGCATTTGCGACTACTAAGGGATTAAAAAAATAGTTAAAAAAAAATCAGCGTGTCTTGCTAGCAGATGGACTGCTGTTCTGAGTGGGTGCCAGAACTCAGATTTTCTGTGGTAGCTACATTTCCAGTTCAAAGCCCTACTAAGAAAAAAAACCACCTCCACACACCCCCCATGCCTCCACAAGGTTCATTACTAGAAGTATTGATTAACATCATTTTTTTGTTTTCATCTAGACAACTTGCTAAAAAACAAATGCTGCTACATTAAGTATTCAGCTAAATATAGCAGAAAAAGATCGAGTTTATTTCATCCTTGGGAAAGACTTTTATATTCCCTTAATGCTTCTGCCATTCATGAACAGTCTGCGATATAAATAGGATTCCCTGCATCTCCTGGTAAATCTGCTGACTCTCGTCTACAGAAATATAAATTGAAGCACAGAAGGATATACAAGTTCACATGAAAAAGGCAATCAGCGAAACAGGTTTTCAAACTATAGTAATATTTTAATCACAACCATTTTAACAACAAGTCTTGAAAACTTTTTAAAGATAATTTTTTAAAAGCTCAGCAACCTTGCTTTTTTTCTCAGTCCTATTTTTTGCTTTTTCTTGCTAACGTTGGCATGGTTTTTCAGGCTGGAGACAATACGAGTATCCTGTTTCTTTTAAGATGCAGAACAAGAACTTGTGTGTGTGTGTAGGATATATTATGAGCAACAAAAAGTCTTATCCACTCTTCATGCCAGTTCCCTCAGATATCCCCCTTATAAAAATCTTACTAAACAATACTGGCTGGCCTTACAATCCAGGCCCATCTATCCTCTCCCCTGCCTCCCCAAACTGTGCTGCTTGGGCTGCTAGATTTGTACCAAAACATTTAAAATGCAGGTTCCAAAATATTTTTGCCAAAAAACCCCTGAAATGTGCTCGGTAACTTGTTGACTTTAGTCTGCAAGAACATTAGAGACACAAACATAAGCAAATAGTGAGCTGACATTTGGGGACAGAATTTATCAGCCAGGTACAACAGTGCCTCGGATCATGAAAGCTGATGAATGTATTAAAAAAAAAAAAACCAACCAACAAAAAAAGGAAACCACACAAAACCGAACCACCAAACAAATCCTTGCTGACAAGCACAAGGGCAAAAAAAGCTTAACTGTCATCACGTGGAGCTACCGAAGTTGTGGAAAATTTCAGAGACCTTGGAGGGCAGCCATGCAAGAAGGATGTCAAAGCAAGACCTGGAGAAGGGCAGACCCTTAAGCAGCTTCATGACTTTATGAAGAGATGATGAAGGCTTGACTAGACCAGAGTGTCTATTTACATCTAGGGAGTGAAAGTACTAAATAATTGTCAGGTCTTGAGAGGAGAACATTACAGGAGTACAGGAGTCATAGATCAAATTTACTGGAGCAAAACCAACAGCAGTAGTTTCTTTGACCATCCATACTTCACCTTCTCTCTGATTTCTTCAAATGAGAAGCTTTCCTTGTCAACAGAACTCAGATTTTCCAAATACTATTAAGATACTATGATAATTGACAAAAAAAAAGGCAAAATAATGAATTTCAAGATGCCCATTTACTGAGCAAATCAGATTCAGACTTGACATAGGAAGACTTGACAAAAAGGAAATACTTGAAAGCTAAATGCACCAATCTTAAAAACATGAAGAGCTCCAAGAGAATCTGACTCAGAGACTCGTTATTCTCAATTAAAATCCCCAAGATGCTAAACCAAAATTGCAAACACAAAGCAAGGTTGGGAAATCCTCAAACACAACTCTCCAAACAAAGCAAGAAACAAAGATCTCTCCGTATTAAGGCAGTTCCTTTTTGGATAGCCTCATGCTAAGGAGGCGGTAGTAAGTTTGTCTGACATCTAATACCTCCTGCTATTTGAAGCACGCACGAAGCTAACGCTCGCTGCAAACACTCTGCGCTGACATCATGGCTATTGTACAGTTTGGACAGACACAGTGTTCTTATCATCTCCAAGACGCCACGACTTCAGCAATATTGAAACAGAAAAATCAGGTGAATAAACAATCAGTCACAGGGAGTGAAAATGCAGCCAGAAGAGGAAGACTTCTGGCAAGCTGAGGCACTGGCCTCTGCCAAGGATGGCACCGTGCCAGTCACATGCGGGCAAGCAAAAGGTTGCCAAGTGTGGGGTAATTTTTATTTTTTTTAAGATTCTTTCTGTCCTTGCAAAACGATATTCGATCATTCCTTTTTTATATTGTTTCTGCGTTTTTAGAGCATCCTTCATGTGAAATAATGTTTCAGAAAGAAAAGAGGAAAAAAGCCTAGTTTTGATCAGAAACTTGAGGAGGAAGTGTTTTCTCCTAGCCAACTACTGAAAAAATTAGCTAATTTTACCCACAAAGACAGAAAAAAAATGGTAATTTTTGGAACGTTAATCCCTCTACATGAGAGAATTTTTAAAATATCACAATGTAATGGTCTAAACTTTGATATGGTCTTTCAAACATCAGACTTCAAATGCTCAAGCAGCCTATACAAGACCTCATTTCTTTTGCCCTGTATACCGTAAGAATAGAAAGACCGGAGAGACA